TAAGAGCATCAGATGCAGCAGTAACTTCCATGCTGTCCATTCGGCCAGTGAGTAGTCTCTCCTCAGAAAACAAATGTCTGTTAAGCACAGGGGAGGGCCCCTCCATTCTCCCCCACACCACGCTCAGCACACCCACCCGCACCCACAGGCACAGAGGGGAGAAGAGAAGGGCGGACATGAGGAACCGGTGGGGTGGGAGTAAGGAAAGAAAATGCGACCTTTCCGCCTCAGGGGCTAAAAGAACCCTACTAGTTTCCATTTACTGAACCAAACTTCCCTTAAGGAACAGTTACATGGGCAACTAAATTAATTCCTAGCGGAGACCACTATTTGAGAGAAGACTTTAAGCTCAGTTTCCCTAAAGGTAAGTTAGGCGTCTCAATTGCTCTTTGCTGACATATTTCAAAGGCTCGGATTCTCTAGCTCCAATCCAAAACAAAACAACAACAACAACAACAAAAAACACAGAGCTTCTCAATTTCATTTTTCTACATTACTTCACCCTGGAGATAAATGCAACAAAACTGAAGAGATCAGTTAGAGGTTAAACAACGATCAAACCAATCTTACTTTTAATTCAAAATCCTTTGAAAGGCAATTCCATGTTTTCCTTCACAGAAATGTTTGACTAGCACACTAACCAAGAGACATCTAAAATTTATCTTTTATCATCGATCCTTGGTGTTCAATTAATGGCTCAAAAAAGATGAATTGTTACAAAAACAAATCTGCGTGGGGCCAAAAGTCACATGTATTTAGAGATACCAGAGCTAGAAATTAAATGCAAATTAAAATGGTTTCATTGGAAATAATTTTTTTTAACTGAATTTGTGTAATTGCTACATGGGTTTTTGTTTCTTAAATTCTTCCATAGCACTATGTGACCTGCTTTGACTTCCCAAACAAAACAGGCAAGGTGGCTGCCTCTCTGGTGGTTAAAAAGGAAATTGAAAAGAGCTTGATAGAGATGAGAGTTTTGGGGAGATCTGGGATGGAAGAGCAGCATGATGAACTAGAGAAGCGTTAACCAGAAGAGTGTCTGGCAATTGTGGCTGAAAAGCATCTTCGAGAATGACCAAGCGCTGAGGACACAGTTATGGAATCACTCAAATCACACCAAGTACAATGCAACCCGAGTTCACTTTCAAACAGATTCTTATGGAGGTAATGTAACTAGATGAAATGAAAAGCCATCTTTGAGGTTGACCGCTTATTTAGTTGTTACTATCAGGAGGATAGTCACCTTCCTGAACGTCATCAGTAGAGAAAGAGAACATGATGAATGAAGCTCAGTATGGACCAGTAGGGCCACATCTAGATGTTGAGATGAAAAAGCAATGTGGCAAGAATACAAGATATTCTTGGACCTCTGCCTGATTGTGATACAAAGCTCTGTTACGATCTGCTCTCCTCTCTCTCCACCCTAAAAGCCTTTTGTCCTACTTCTGCTATAACAGAGATGTCCCAAAGCATGATAACCCATGACACTAAGCTCAAACTGGATCAAAGACGGAGCTATCTTGCCCAGCTGGTTTGGTTCAGTGGATAGAGCGTTTGCCTATGGACTTAAGGGTCCTGGGTTCAATTCTAGTCAAGGGCACATGCAGGAAGATTGAGGGGCCATGCAGGAAGCAGCTGATCAGTGATTCTCTATCACTGATGTTTCTCTCTCTCTCTCCCTTTCACTTCGTCTCTGAAAACAATATATATAAAGATGAAGCTATCTCAAAAAGGTACAGCAGAAAGTGAACACAACAATAAGACACCTTGCTTAGGTGATAAAAATTTTAATCCTTGCAATTAAGTATGACTTGCCTTCTCACAAGTCCCTAGGAAAAAGATCCATATACTACATGTATCTCTAGCTCTACAATTTACCAGACAGGAGTTATTCAATTATTTGGAATACGCAACATAGGTTGATTTTAAGAATTTATTAAAATAAAAAAGTTTTAAGGAATAGCTGATGTTATTTAATTTTCTAGTTAAGTGAAGTTCTTATGCAGAAAATATCTTTGGTTCTACTCTTACTTTACAACCTTTCTTAAATTAGAAAACTTTCTTGTCTGCTCGAGGCTAATCAAGTGAGCATACCTGAATCTTCTACAACTGATGGTCACTGATAACTTTATCTTGTGTTAAGTGCAAAGATGCAGAAGTTATGCAAGACTGAGCTGGAGGTAAATGACTCCTGGGCACTTAAAATATGTTTAAAAGACCAGGTAAGCCAACCAAACAATAAAAATCTCTAATATTTGGCTTATGAATATGTGTAAGTGTTGAATAATGGGGGACTGCTGGTTAGCTGAGTACTTTAATCGAAACTCTACTATTTTGTTGATACTAATAGTATCTCCTGAGAGCCTACCACAAGACAGGAATTTTTCCAGGTGTTTGAGATACACCTGAGAACAAAACAGACAAAAAATTTCCTACCCTCATGTAGCTTACGTTCGAGCAGGGGAAGAGAGAAAATAAGCATTAAATATAATATATAAAGCACAGAGTAGATTAGAAGATAACTATTGTGAGAAAATGGAGCAGGTAAAGAAGGAATCGAAGTTAAGAGGAAGATAAGTTATTTTAAGTAGGCTGGTCAGGGTAGGCCTCATTGAAAAGGTGACATGGAGCAAAGAAATGATGAAGCTGAGATAGTAGGTCACAAAACTGCTGATGAAAGGGCGCTCTGGGCAGAGTGGACAGCAAAAGCAAAGGGCAAGGGTAGATGCCTGGCCAGAGAGGCCAAAGTGGAGGCAAGAGGGGAGGGAGCAAGTGGAAGGGACTGGTGTGTGTGTGAGTGCTTCAGGCTACTGTCATCAATCTCCTCCCTTGGCCTTGATTCCCTGTCAAGAGCCGACAGTGCCACTCCACAGACCAACAAAAAGATGCAATTACCGGAGTGCAAAGCTGGTCTTGAAAAGCCAGGGAAATATCTCACCTCTGACTGCTGATCCAGCTTCAAAGTGCTTTGACAATTCAGGTCTCTGATATGAGGTAAGACGGCCTCTACCTTGTGGTTTGCATAACAGAGTGAAGCTAGCAAGTCACAGGACGCCAGGAAGAGTCCTGAGAAGAACCCTTCTCCTTCCTGGCAGTGAGACTAGTTTCCAGGAGTCCTGACCAATCACGCGAATGTTCACTTGTCAAGCTGATCTGTATCTACATTAAGTCCACGCTCTGTCCTCATGACAGAGCTGGGGTTTAAGCTTGAATGAAGCTGGCCCATAGGGGAAGGGAATGATTGCCACATGCATGCACAAAATACTTGGATTCCTCTGGAGAGTCTAATTGTATGGGAACTGATTTTTCAGAAAGGAGCCGTTCTGTGCTAAATGACTTTCTTCTATAGAAATACATAGCATTCGCATTTCAGCTAAAGAACCTCAAGAACTGAATAATCAAGCGTTCGGGTGCGAAGTTTAAAAGTTAATACAGCAGCCCCGAGGGTTTGTATTAGCGCTTTAAGTAGATAAATTAAATTGAAATGTGTCTCTCGAGCAGCCATTGAACAAGCTAGATGAGAAATAAATTGAGCGTCACACAGGCCTTTATCGCATCTAACAACTGTGTCTGTCAACACGCGGATCCTTTTCACTGTCAATTCGACACGTTTTCGCAGACCTTGGGCCTGCAATTATTTCATTTCCTTTCTTGGGAATGTAATTTCCACTTACTTTTGGAGAATAAAAGGCAGACAAAAGGAAGAAGGAGTTGAAGTCTTTTCTGATTAAGATTATCTGTGTAAAATGGTAAAGGGAAAAAAAAATCTATACACATACACACACACACACACACACACACACTGAAGCATTTCTCAGAAACGAACTTGTCTCAGCCAAATTGCTTTTGTGTCTGGATACTGGTTCAAATGTAGCCGGAGTGCTGATGTCAAATTAGGTGTTAAACGAATTTAACAGGAAAAGATGAAGAATGCATATAGATCATCTTTCTTAGAGCCGTTCAAATGACTGCAGTCAAAAGAAAGGCAACGCAGGGCTGCAGGAGAAAATGTACTCCGAAACACAATGAAATTAGATAAAACTGTAAATCAGCAAAGAAGGCCATTCATTCCAAAAGAGAGGCTGGCGGGGGGCTGGGGCGGGGAAGGTTAATAATACCAATGAGAAATCCAAGAATGGAAGAAAATGCCAATTGGCAAAAAAAGAGACCTAAATTGAATTTCAAGTTCATTTGTCCAGGCTTCTTCACCTTTTAAACTAAGACAGGTAGAAGCACAAAAAAGGGGCTCTTTTCTCCCCCGCTGGAGCAGGAAATCGGAGGTTTAATGAACCGCGATTATAATTACAATCGGCTGATCTGATTTGTCTCACCTCTTCCTTTTCTTCAGGTGACAGACCCCCTGACATCCTAAGAAGGAAAGCAAACCTAGACTGATTTCAGAAAAGAGCCTACCGCTGTTTCAAAACAAACCGATGAATCCACCAGGTCTGCCGGAAACACAGCCCATAGCAGGCTCAACTCGGCGAGAGAGGGTCCCTGTCAAGCAACCCCGTACAGATAACTGTTGACGGGGTATGTTGTCATCCTCGGGGTAGAGAAACAGGAAGGCACATCTTTATGGGAGGACCAGAAAATGAGGCTGCGAAAAGGTGCCCTTCAAAGGATGTTGGAAGACTGAGTTCTTCTGCAAGATCTAGCGTCTTCTTCAGCTCCTCGTGAACCGTGAAGAGGGATGATGGAGGCATCCAACCTTGTAAGAATGCCTCTGTGTCTTTGGACGCTGAATAACGGATCACCCCGCTCACCCCTCTGGGAGGAGCCTGATGAGCAAACCAGTGGAGGGGCAGGGATTCTCTTCACACGTGTCTGCTCTGGATAAGAATAAGATCTCTACGCTAGGAGCCCATGGGCTCATCAAAATCGGAAGTAGAGCAGGTTACTGGCTCTCTAAAGCGTAAGGAAGCAAAGCAGCACACGAGTTAGTATCACAGACGTAGTTACCTGCACGTGAGGTAGTAAAGAGCGGCAGCGTTACTTACTGAAACGTAACCTTGGGACTCGAGCCTCCTTCCAATTTACACGGCCCGTCACCTGGCTCAGGTGCTGGCCTGTGGAATTCTGCCTCCAGAGTGTTCTTGGTCAAGGCCGTGTTTGCTACACGGGATACAGAACCCAACACCGGCATGGATTTGGACTCTGAGGTGGCTAATATCCCGGTTGGACCTTAAAACCAAACACATACCCCCAGTTTAATCATTCTGTGCAATGGTGATGAATACGGCACTGAAAACAGATTAGCTGCAAAGCCCTCAGGAAGTGAAAAGGCCATGTGTGGGTAAGGTTTCCAGAGCTGGCAAAAATGGTTCCGTGAGAAATCTCCTCTGCTTTCCCGGCACTCCTCAATGCCCCGGGCAACGGGGCATGAGCCTTTAAGAAACCACAGAACCCCAGGCCATGGTTCCCTCCCTGACCGGAGTCCTTAAAAATACTCAACATGTGGAAACTCTTTCCTCCTCAGAGTATGGCTTTCTGGCAGCCTTCCTTGAACTATGTGGCCTCTCAAGAGTTAATTCCTCCCCAAACTCGGCTCTGCGTGTTGAACACAAAGCGGACCGATGTCAGAAGGATCTTTCTCAGAGGCCCACGGAAGGCAGCCTGAGCATCCAACAGCTTTTATGAACATCTTCATTTTAATGTGAGTGAGAAGTAAACGGACTTATTTCCTGTTCCTATACACACACGGGATTATAAAAATTAAGGGGCAACGAGCTTGGCTGGTTAACTTTTAGGCTTTTCTGCTCTCTGGAACAGGAGGGAAGACACTCTCACGGGGCTTGCTACGGCAATTTTTGGCATATCAACCTAAACATTCTGGGCACCGAAGCTACGCTCCATCGTGACTTAATTCCTGTCTTTAGTTCGAAAGAAACTGTCCTAGGCAGTCTCTTTTCAAAGCAAGATTCTAGTATTTTTTTCTTTCTTTCTTTCTTGAAACTGCAAAAGGAATCCTTTGAAAACAAAGAGATTGGAGATACTGAATATTCTGGATCAAAAGGCCTTTCCCTCCCTCCTGTCTTAAGCCCCGTGTTGCATGGGGATGTGGGAGCAAAGAAGGGAGGGCAGGAAGATACAGAAAGTTCTTGAAAATAAACATGAAGCTGGATTCGAGAATGGCTTCCAAGCGGCTCTAGTTTGCCCTTGGATAACTGTTGGCTGCAGCACTGATAGCTTTAAACAATCTGTCCTTGTCGGAAAGCAGATCTGTTTCTGAATGCGCCAATGCCTGCAGCTTATTCTGCGGCTGAAGCCAATTAAAAAGGAGGGCGAGGGGGTGAGCTGAGCCTGAGCTCCTATTTTTCCTACAAAAAGGAATAAAGACAAATGCTTAATGTGTAGGATTATTATTATTATCACCACATCGTGTTTAAGCTGCCCAGTGTTTCCCAAGAGGCACTCATCGCTCTTTGAAATATCAGTTGGTTGGGTCATAAGTCTAGGTAAGACAAGGGAGGTTAAGGGTCAAAAGAAAAATCCTAGGCCCAGCCAGCGTGGCAAGGTGGTTGAGCATCGATCGACTTATGAATCAGGGGGTCACAGTTTGATTCCCAGTCTAGGCACATGCCCGGATTGTGGGCTCCATCCCCAGTAGGGGGTGTGCAGGAGGCAGTTGGTCAATGTTTCTCTCTACTCGATGTTTTTATCTCTCTCTTCTTTTCTCTGAAATCAATTTTTAAAATCTTTTTATTTTCTAAAGAAAAAGGTGCTTCACTGGCCCTTGGGATCTGAGTTCTGAAAACCTCAGGCTACCTCTGCTTCTCTTGGGATGACTCCTTTCTCCACTGTGTGACCTCACACTTAGCTTTCCTTTAGCTTCTGTGTGTAGAAGGAAAAAATCCTGGAGAGTAAGTGTACCTGAGGCACACACCTATCAAACTCATCCTCTGTAACTTGCTCCCACCATGCATCTGGGCTGATGTAGCTTACTAACCCACTCCTCTCCTCTCTGTCCGGGAATTTTCCCTTGTCATTTCATGGTCTTTATTAAAAGATTTACGGGATAAATACTTCTTGCAGTTTGATGCTAGGATAACATCTGTACCATCTTTTTAAAAAAGGTATTTTACTAGATTATAGAGTTTGTATGCTTGTTTCTTTCCTCTTCTCCCCTCTTCCCTTTTGACTACTAGGGAGTTCAAAAGAAAATTTCTGCTAAATTACAAGTCACTCCCCTCAGTATGTGTATATATCTTATTCTACCTTTCCTCAAATTATACACTGAATATTTGTATATGGGAAATAACCAATTAAAAAAGAGTCTCACCATGCCTATAAAACATGTTCCTACCTTCCTCCAAATTTTCAAATATTCAAATTTCCAAAGTAACTAAAATGAAAATACTTCCTGGCGCCTCCCACTGAAAAACTAACTCTGAAGTAGTGAGTGCTTCATGTTTGACCAACTTCATGAGTGAGGTGAAGAATGTTTCTGGAGGACCAAAAAGGTCAGTGGCAAAATATAAAATGTAAATGGCAGAGCGCGAAAATGTCATCCGAAAAGTCCCACCAATCAAGGAGGCTACCTGAGTGCTCTGAGGATAAAATACTGGAAAAGTCACAGCTCAGATTAAGCCACAAAATAAATGATTCATATGGAGGCTGCTACATGCTTGTAAAACAATCTTAAGGAGGAAAAAAAAATATCCCACTCTCAAGCTTTTAACTTTTCTGAGAGGTGGCTGTTTGTGGGGGCCGGAGAATGGGGGTAACAGCAAAATTTCCAGACCAAACAAAAAAACTGATTTTTTTTTTTTTAATGAGGAAACAAAGGCTTCATCTTTTTATAGTAATGGTTTGGCTAGTATGGTAGTATGCTGCTTCCAGTTTAAGAAACCAATTTACTCAGAAAGTCCTTATGTGAGAACCAGAGCCTGCTTATCAAAAACCCAAATCCTTAATAGACCAGCAACTTAAACTTGACCGAAATGCAAATTAATCTGTTATATCGGGCTAAGCTAATGTGAGTTCACAGGACTAAGTATAAATGATTCGGACTATTAGCTCGAGTTGCTGACTAATTTTACTTTAGCTTTTCAAAGCCAGCCTGGTGGCTTCAAGAAAAAACAAAACTCATAAAGGTTTCTGCTAATTCCCACGATCAATTGACAGAAAAAAAATAAAAATAAAGACACATCACAGGGGACAACCATCACTGTTTCTCTGTTTCTCCCTCTCCTTCTCACTAAAAATCAATGGAAAAATATCCTTGCGTGAGGATTAACAACAACAACAAAAAATTCTGGATATTGGTTGTACAACAACGTGAATACAGTTAACACTACTGAACTGTACATTTAAAATGGTTAAGATGATATTTTATGTTTTGTGTATTTTATCACAATTTAAAAAAACTGTAAAAAATGTAAAAAAAAATAAAATAAAATAAATAAAGAATAAAGATATACCAAGTTAGTTAGGGAACAGATTTTGATGTCCAATACACGGGTAGCATGACACAAATGCAAATTGTGAACTCAAGACTTGCTCAGATGGTCATCATTGGTGACAGAGCTGGAATTTCTCATCACTTGGCTCATAAGAAACACTAAACTAAATGGGTGTGAAGAACAAAGATGATTTCTTTACAATTATAACTGATGTGTAATTACTACTATGATTACAGATTATTGTGAGCTGACTCTGCCAGGCACAGTGGTGAAGCACTTTTCATATACTGACTGTCTTGATCCTTAGAATAATCCTATGAGATAGTGCTTTTATTCATCTTATTTTATAGATGAAGAAACGGAGGCTCAGAGAGGTTGGGTAATTTGGGTAAGAGCAAGCAGCTAATAAATGGCAGAGCTAGGATTTGAACTCACATTGTCTTGGTTCCAGAGCCTATACTCAATGCTACACTGTTGCCAAAGCCCATTCTGAATGTCTTTGCACAAGGTCATCATGCATTAAGTAAACCAGATCTATAAAAGCCTGATTACCTACTGTTAGGTCTGATCAAATAATTGAATCGATACGATACGACCTCCCCTAAGAACTGACCTTTAGACCACTTTACAACCAACATTTCCTTTCGCTTAGACCACATTCCACTTGCTAAGACCATTATCCTTCCCCTCCAGACCTTCCCAGGATCCGGACCCGCCCAGAGAAAACCCACCTACAGTCCTTTAAAATCTCCCATTCCTCGGAGCTGATACCATCCTGGTCTCAGCCCTGCTGCTAGCAGATGGAACAATATGTTTATAATTCTTCACCCCTTTTGGCCTCATGCATTCCTCCTAAGGTGACCCTAACATTTGGTGTCGAACCCGGGAATGGTATGTGGACTTTGGGGCAGCTACTGTTCATTGTGGTCACGCTGAAGGGAATGTTGGTTGTGAAGTGGTCTACAGTTTAGTTCTTAGGGAAGGGGGTATCAATTCAATTATTTGATCAGACCCAACACCTACAACTACATAAGTAACATGCCAATAAATATAAATAATATAAGCATTCTTATGAGGGATCCATAAGTGCCTTTCACCAGCCAATACTTCTCACTCACATTAAAAATATTTAATAATAAAGGGATCTATAAGTGCCTTTCACCAGCCAATACTTCTCACTCACATTAAAAATATGTAATAATAATTTTAAGAAGACAATTTCACGTCAGAAGGGAACTGAAAGGAAGACGCTGCAGAGAGGAGGAGCTGTGGAGAAATGAAACCAGCTTACTACTGCTCTCTGCTTCTGCCGTCACCTTCCTGCGACGCAGAATCCTCTCTAACTCACTCTCACTGCTCTCAGTGTCAAAGGATTTTAAGCTTCTGGAACTAGTGGATTTGTTAAGTGTCCCCTAAAGTGAAAAACAAACAAACAAAAAACAACAACAAAAAGGTTAATAAAAGCTTAATACAACATACAAAAGAATATAAAAATAAAACCACCAAAACATTACCAGAATTTGCATGGAATTAGAAAATAAAATGAACTTTACATATATTTATATTTTCATGGGCATATCTTCAACGACACATAGTGTTGCATCATTTAAGACGGCGCTCCTGAGGATGTAAAATGTTAGCTCTCATATTTTACATCCAGGACAAGAACACCCCTTGATGTGCTAACTGCACGAGATTCAGTGGCGGGAGGGTACCTGCACAGCGATGGTTAAGATGCTGATGTGTGTCGATCTGTTGCGTGGAGAAGAGGATGGACATAACGAACTCACCTGAGAAGCATATCTTGATACGGCAGCCACACGCTACAGAACCAAAACCCTGGTGGCCCTAAAAAAACATGTGGCTGGTTCTTCAGAGAATGACCTTGACTGCGCGCAATGCTCTCCAATGGCCTGACCCACAGATGGGCTGTGCCGTGGTTTCACTGTGGGGGCATCGTGACTCCAGAATCCTAACAGAGGAGGCAGTGCCCGGGGGGCCTTCAGGCCCAGAGACGGGACCTGAGTGGCAAGAGTCTATTTTCTGGAGGAAACAAGAGATGCCGTCGAGCTGTGCTCCTGCTGAAAGCAGTAGTGACCTTCAAGAAGACAGAGAGCAGCTCAGGCAGGGGTCCCTGCCCTGGCTGCTCCGGTAAGTGTGTTATGGAGGAAGAACGAAGGCTTTCCACTTCCATTCCCACTCAAGTGTTGGGACAGGACACTAACTGATGGTTTGATCAGAGCAAATCAGAACCTCAAATTTGGGCCAACTCGCCTGACCTCGTGCCCGAGTCAGAAGGCAGCTTTTGTCCACCGAGGCTAACCACCAGGCCGGCCTTTTTCACGTCTGAGCTCCCCGAGGGCTTGCTCTTTGTCCCCGGCTAATAACTTCCTGAGGATCCTAAGAATTCTACTCCCTAAACATGGTAACTCTTCAGCCTATAAAAAAAAGTTTGTAAAACCAGGCAATTACAAATCTCTTCTGACTCAGGCTGTGACGCTGTTTTGTGTAGGAAGCACACAGTTACAGAGGAGCAGCCTGTGGTCGGGAGGACCTTGGCAAACAAGAATAGGAGGTTGCGTGCTTCTGCAGGCAGATGCCTAACCAACTGATGTGTGGAGCACTGAGATAAGGCCCACCTGCTAGCCAAGCATAAACCGACTGTTCCCCCCACCCCACCCAAAACTACATCTTTCTGCTTCCCACTTATTGCAAATATTCATAAAGCACATTCAAAGGAACACCACATTACATGTAACACGGTAACAGCTCAGTTTATAACTTACAAATTACTTGCTTTACTTAACAGTTAACAAGATCTGAATCTACTTATCATAAGGTAGGGTAAACACTGAGAAGGTAAGGAAATCAGAACAAAAGCCCATTTTGACAAATTTTTAAACATGTACTAGGAAAACCATTTCCAACTCACTTGTGTTTGTAATTTTACAAAACGTACCAGCTGTATTGTATGTAAGCAAATATTACTTAACGGAATGGCCATTATTATTAAGACAACTCATAAAACCACGCTGTTTGAATGTCAAGGACATTCTGTGTGATTTTCCTAATGGCTGGAGTTAATGGCTACCTTTTATTGAAGAATTTATCTTTCACAATATTCTCTATGTTTCATTTAGAAGACAGCATTATTTCCCCCAAATTCCTGACTATGATGAGTGACCCTCTCTTCACCTGATACTGAAGGGACCCATTTTCAAGTTTGAATCCTTGAATCCCACACTTTTCCTTCACTCGATGACTGATAGTGTTGGTTCAGCTAATACGTAAGTACATTTTAGATACGGAGGCAATTATGGGAGACAGAAAGGTTTCTGCATGACTCTCAACTGAAATGATAAAGGAGCTCAGCTAATAAAGTACAAAGATTATCTTAATTATCCATTTGCACTATAATCATAGATGGTGAGAACAAAAATTAACTTGGGAGCCATGCGGTCCATACAATTCCTTCACTTTACAGAGGAGAGAGCCTCAGGGTTTGGGCCAGATCCCAAGACAAGGCAGTGATAGGGCGGGGCCCTGACCATGACTCTTCCAATTCCCAAATCTGTTCTCTATCTCTACTCTGAACCACTTGGATCCTGGACTTACCTTAGTGCCCCATGGTGGTGAAATGTTTCCAATACCAAGTAATCTAATCACCAGGTGGAAAAATTAACTATTCAACAATTTTGGGATATTCTGAAAAACTGAAAATGTTCGAGAAAGACCTGTCAGATAACCTTTTCAAATGCTATTTCAGTTTCTTTGATCTGGAAGCAACTGCCTTGAAAGAGAGACGTTTCGATTCATTTTGTCTTGATTTAAACTTCAGAAACTGCCATTTCCACATTGACTTTTGAATGATTGGGGAGACTCAAGAGAATCCTTGTGTGGCTATCAGAAATGAACATATCTTTGTTTAATCTGCGCGGTGCACACCATTTTTAAAGACAAAGAATAAACAGGCTGGTAAAGACGAGTCCCGTCAACAAGGAGACTTTACAAATTAGCTTGAAAATCGGACAACTCCAAATAGAGTGAGGTTTCCCAAGCCCGAGATTTGTTTTCTACGCAGGCGCTAACTTGGAGCAATAAGCCACACCTCTACGTCCTGGGTGTCCTCTTACCACTCAGGGCCCGTCTCCTTCACTGCAGCAAACACACCACTGACGTTACCCTGAGCAGGTTGTTTCCTGGCATATCTGAGTCACTTTCTATCTCAGGGTATAATCTGTAGGCTTTTCCTATCTTCCTGTTTATCACCTGTCACACTGAGGCGGATGTCATGTGCTTTGCTGGGTACTACATGGGATCATCCTAACAGTCTGAACTCCAGCAAAAAAGCACTAAGACAGCCCCTCGAATAGGGGCTTTTTTTTTCTCTCTCTTACAAGAAGTTGTACGGCTTCTTGACACCAGGTGGCTGGGTGTGGCAAGTGACCCATCACCCCTCAAAGGGACATCGATGGGGGTAGCGGCGAGTTGCCATTGGGCAATGAAGAGCAGGGGAGGAGGACACTGTGAGTTTCACTTTTAAATAAACCAAAACAGCCGAAACCGGTTTGGCTCAGTGGTAGAGCATCGGTCTGTGGACTGAAAGGTCCCAGGTTCGATTCCGGTCAGGGGCATGTATGTTGGTTGCGGGCACATCCCCAGTAGGGGGTGTGTAAGAGGCAGCTGGTCGGCGTTTCTCTCTCATCGACGTTTCTAGCTCTCTATCTCTCTCCCTTCCTCTCTGTAACAAATCAATAAATAAATATATATATATATATATATATATATATATATATATATTAAATAAACCAAAACAATTTGCTGCAAAAAAATCATATTGTCAGAGTAACAGCCATGATGATACGTCAGTGCCAGATGAGGGGGAGAAACCTACTGCTAAATCCCGGATGAGGAGGAGAGGGGCAATTTGCAGAGGGGGGAAAAAGGTGTTTTGGCAATTTTTGTAATTTGTAAATTATTTCACAAAAATTTATTTCAGGAATTTCTCTCCTTGAAGCGGCACGAAATTATAGTGAGCAGGGATTGAGGGATTGTGTAGCGCCAGCGGTCTTAAAGGGCAATGTTCCAATCAGCGAACCTGCCACCCTCCGGCGTGATCAGGGAGTGGCATGCCCTGGGCACGCCAATGCCATATGGCTCCCACGTGGATGTCTGATTTTCCAAATAAACCAAATAAACACTCAACATGGTTGATTCTTTCACTGATGGTCAAAACTATTCTCTAGAATCTCACCCTGCCTGGAAGACAGTTTCTTGAACAGGAATTAGCATTACAATGTAGAGACAAAAAATAAAAGAAAAAAAAAAGAAAATAAAAGATTGTCAGTGCCCTGGCCTGTGTGGCTCAATTGGTTGACCATTATCCTGTGCACTGAGGGGTCACTGGTTTGATTCCCAGTCAGGGCATGTGCCTGGGTTGCAGGTTTGATCCCCAGTGGGGGTGTGCAGGAGGCAGCCAATGTTTTTCTTTCTCTTCCTCTCCCTCTCCTGTCCCCTCTCTCTACAATCAATAGAAATATTTAAAACAAACAAACAAACAAAAAAACAGGAACTGTCACAGTTCTCTTTAACAAACACTGGATCACAAGGTTTTCTCATCCAAGAATCCCTCCTCTCCCAGCCACATATGTTATCCATGGTTTGCAATACTTCACTCTGTAGGCAGACTAGCATGTTAGCCACCACTACACCTCTCTCCAGTGCCAATCCCACTCACCTAAAACTAAAGCTAACCAATTAAGCCATTCTAATTCTGTTGTTTCATGCTTGATGAAAACAATTTTGTTTACCACAATTAGGGGATGTCTACATGCGATGCGTAATTAGCACAGTGACAACAAACACGGGAATATTAATTTGCAGCTTGGCCCCCTTGTTTGTTGACTTACTGTGCCTAATGACTGGTGCTGAGACTGTAAGGGGATCTGAGAACTGGGCTCTTAGCATCTGAACCATTCCCTAAGCGAGGCGTTTGTCTCAGAGAGCAACCGCTGGAGAGGGCAGTGTTCGCTTATTCCACTGGCAGAGGCTTACATGCTCTGGAAAGGAGAAATACAGCTAGCGATGGGCATCGGGCGTGTCCTCCAAAGGTTATGACTGACTTTTAGAAAATAAAACCAGCAGCATAAAGAAAGGGACTTTGATTCTCCAGCTTATCATCAATTTTTTTTTTTTTTAACTGTGAAAAAAGCAGACCGTGACCCTGACACTGACATATTTGGGTAGAAGCTCAGATTTACAGGGAGACACCAAGAATTCTGCTTGCACGCCCTGAAGTGAAGAGACTCTGCTATATTTCTCTTATTAATAAGCAAGCTCCCCCCCTCACCTCTGGCCAGGCATGTCATCTTCACGCTGTAAGGCAAGAATTGGAGGGCAAGAACAAGAAACAATGATTTTGGCGAGCGTGGGACCGCTCTTTCAGAACACACACAGCTGAGTTATTGATACATTAATAAGCCACCCAATGGAGGAGCCCATAACACAATCAAGTAAATCATCAGAAGAAATGAGGCGACTGCCGATGGAAATAAAAACATATCAGACCCATTATTCATGAAAATCGATTTCAAGAACACTCTCCTCTCATTTTCCCATTAGCTGAGTAAAACGCCGAGACCTGTTCTTACCAGAATTCCTTTTAATTCGGTCACCGCGCTTTCAGAGCCTTTGGAAGATTCTGGCTACAATGAAAGAAATAAAATTAAAGTTACCGAGTCGTTCATTCTAAAAATACTGAACAAAAACAGTTTACATGACAAAGTGTTGGCAGCGTACAGTCACTGTTTTTTAAAATTAGGTCCATGTCTTACTGTTGGGACAAAATATTAGACAGGTAGTGCTTCCAGATGGCAGCTGAGTAGAAAATTAGAAGTAATGTTCAAAGCAAAAGGACTCAAGCCGCCACGTTCTAAACATCATTTTGTTATTTGTTTGTCATCAGACATAGAAACAAAAAATTGGTAAACACTAGACTTCAGACTTAATTTCACACGATTCGTGTCTTTTACAGCAGCTTCTCCACCTGCAGGAGGCTGCAAAGCAGCAAGCAAGCGGCAGGGCGGGAGACCTCTCAGCTCCACGGCCTCCGGGCAAAAGCCAGGGGCAGAGACCCGCACACCTTGTTTGGTGAATTTCACAATGGGATGGAGTCGGGAGCAGGGACCAGCAAAGAACCAGCTTCCAGGAGAGCGTGAGCATCCCTGGCTGGGAAACAGGAAAAGAGCCCGGCTGGTGTGGCTCAGTGTTGGAGAGTCAACCTATGAACCAGGAGGTCACGGTTCGATTCCCGGTCAGGGAACATGCCAGGGTTGCAGGCTCAATCCCCAGGAGGCGGCTTGCAGGAGGCAGCTGAAAGATTCTCTCTCCCTCTCCCTTCCACTTTGAAATCAATTAAATTTTTTTTTTTTTAATCAGAAAAAGACCTCAGAGAGTGTGTAGTCCAACCACTTGGTCTTACTTAAGAGGACAGTTAAACTTGAGGAAGGTTGTATTTGAATAAGTGTCTCCATTACTAGTACAAGCCCAGGTCTCTCCCGGCTACACCAGGAACCAAACAATGTGAGTAAGTCCTGGGTATTATATGTACCGGCCCCGTCATACCTACCGGTCTCTGTGGGTCCCTCACCTCATTTACTGGAGGGGAAATTTAGCATTAGGACCTCAGGAAAAAGATCAAAGGTGAACTCTGACCTCCCCCTTCCCAAAGGCGAGAGATGCAGAGAAGGCCTGCCCGCCAGACAGTGCAAGGACCCCTCAGCCCCTCGGTCCTGGAGAGGTGCAGAGGCTCATTCCTCTCATCAGGACACGGGAGGTGATTCTTAGCAACCCATAATCCTCTTCTCTCAGAACACAGTAAGGAGAAGACCCCATGCCAGTGTTTAAAAATGGACAGTCACAGAAGAGGGAGAGAGGGAGAGAGGAAGGAGAGTGGGTTAGCTGTACTTGTGCACATTCGACGGAGGCATTCTCCTTCCCTAGCCTAGGGCTTCTGGGAAACATGCCATCATGCCAGCCACCAGTGCCAGGCGGAAGCTCTCACACATTCACGTCCACCACACCGGCACCGCCAGCGCCATCCAGGAATTTGGGAGATGGGCAGCGAACTTAGTCTTCTCGGGACAGGCTTAAGCAGGTGACAAGCTGTGACTTCCGAACCAACGCCCTGGCCTAAGGCACACTTCAACGCCGGCCGCATAAGCCGCAGCCAGGGCCGCATGCTCTCACACCTGGGACGTGCCCAGGCAGGCAGGGACCACCTGTTCTAAAGGGGACTGGCCGGGCCATTCAGCACTACAGCTAGAGTTTCACCATTACCAGCGAGAAACCCACTCGTCCGCTGATCGTTGGTCAGCTGCCTTCCAGATTTGGAATTGACACTGAACCATGTGTAACTGTTGGAAGAGGAGTACATACAGAACATGGATTACTTATCACTTAAGAAGCTTCCGATGTTATTTCTTTCTAAAGTAATCTGGCTTCTTTATAACACAGATTTTTATTTATTTTTTTCTTCTATAACAATAGCTTGGTTGTGCTTGTTCTTCCCAAAATAGCTGCGCCGTGTAAGTCCTAAGAATGTATTCTTTCCTAAGTTCCGCTCGGACCCCAAGTTTTGGAGTGTTTTCACACTTTATTCCATTTGATCGGGACACAGCCCCGGGGGTCGGGTAGGGCAGGGGCACTGGAGGCTCCACCTCCCACAACAGCGCTCTGTCCTCAGGCGCCAGGCACCAGCGCTGGCACAGCTGTGCTCGGTGGCTCCTCCTGCCCTTGACTTTGAAACTGGCTTTCAAAGCAGCAGCACAAGACGGACTCACTCCCCATGGCCGGGAGCTTCCATATCACTGCATGTCCGTCTATTCTTGGGGTTTCGTATTCTTTCCACCCCCCTTTCTGTGGACAGCCCACACCGTGACCATTCTTTTGTTGTTGTTGTCAAATATATTTTATTGATTTTTTACTGAGAGGAAGGGAGAGGGATAGAGAGTTAGAAACATCGATGAGAGAGAAACATCGATCAGCTGCCTCCTTCCTGCACACCCCCTTCTGGGAATGTGCCTGCAACCAATGTACATGCTCTTGACTGGAATCGAACCTGGGATCCTTCGGTCCACAGGCTGACGCTCTATCCACTGAGCCAAACCGGTTTCAGCACCGTGGCCGTTCTTGCCTGGCCTGGCCATCTTGCCTGCCCGTGGTCAAGTGGCAGCTGCCACAGCCCAGCAGAATTTGTGCATAACAGTGTCGCTACCTGGGGACATCGAAGCAGCTGAAGCTCTCTTTGGAATAAGGACTTAAGGTTTGTTTTAAAAGTAGAAGAAAGAGAACTAACCCACGGATATCTTACTCATGTGAAAAAATAGTTTTCCCCCCAAGAAAAGAAAGGTGAAGCCCTGGCTGGGTGGCTCAGCTGGCTGAGTATCATCCCAAACACCAACAGGCTGCAGGTTCATTCCCTGCTCAGGGCGCATGTCTAGGTTGTGGATTTGATCCCTGGTTGGGGCGCACACAGGAAGCAACTGATGGCTGTTTCACATCGATGTTTCTCTCTCCCTCTCCCTCTCTCACTAAAATCAATAAAAACATGTCCTCAGGTAAGGATTTTTTTTTTTTTTAAAGAAAAAAGAATGTCAAAGGCCCCATTATTGGGCCTACTGAAACGGGACAGGGTACAAGGGGAAAGCACTGAACTAGATTCTCAGGGCTTCATTAGGTCCTGGCACTCCATGTGGTCTTCAAGGGTAGACGCTGAGGGCATAGACACACAACATTTCTTGAAGTGACCGGGAATCAATTTGTGAGACCAGTGAAAGCCATCCCACAGATCTCATTATTTCTCAAAAGCTGTCCTAGGTCTGTTCTGGAATCAGTGTGTGACCCTTACCCATTGCTCCTGTCCCCCGCCACACCCCGACAGACACAGGTAGAAGCCTCAGGAAGGCAAGAATTTTTGTCTCTCCTGTTTATCGCTTTATCCTCCATGCCTAACGCAGTACCTGGCATGCATCAGATACTTGATAAATACTTGTTAAGGTACACAAAACAACCAAGAGTTAAAGAAAGGACACAGCAGTGTCACAACTGTTATCTGTTTGGTATAACAGTTCCTCTCCGTGTCTCTCTCAAGTTGACGCCAGCATCCTACAAGAGCGGGTCTTGGTTTCCATGGAGACATAGGGCTACCCCGGGTCAAACAGAGCCCTCCTGAAACATGCTTATGGAAATGAAGGCTTTTATGACACATTAGCCTTCTCCTACGATGAGGCAGTCAGTCCTGATACGGCTTGCATCGCATTTCGAAATTTCACATTCAAAGAAAGACACATCCGGGGTGGGGGAGAAAGCATTTAGTCATTCTATACCTGTGCCTTCGGCCTCGCCGTCTGGTTCACGGGTCTGAGATGAACTCCCTTTTTAATCCTGTCCATCATCTCCTCAACGGCTTGCCTCTTCAGATCCGTGACTTCTTCAGCTGTTCAGAGAACACGCACAGAAATCATCTTAGATTACAGGAACACTGCCACATCCTATATGGGGTGGCTTAGCTCATGCTAGATGCTGAACCCGTCATTTTTCAGACAAAGTCACAAAACACCAACCATCTAAGGTTAAGAGCTACCAGATAGCAATGTATTTTTCATTAAAGTCTTTTAAGAAAAGACCTGCTTTGAAAAATGAGAGTTATAAATTTTGAGGTCTAATTTGCAACCTGGAAATCAATTAGCGGCTCATCTGTGTGAGGCAATTAAAGTTCCTTTTGTCAGTATAACGTGAGACCTGAATTTCTATAGGTCTTTAAAAACCCAACTTTGTCACTAACCCCAAATAATCATTCATTCTTGTCTCAAAGATATTTTTTATAAGCCATAGAACACTCTATGTCAAAGAAATCAGCCGGAAGAAGAAATAACTATCAAAAAGCCCATTTGAAAATAAATGATCAAAATGATTCTTTTATTTCCCAAAAGAAATTAAATCAAAAGATGAGCAGCAAAGAGATAAAAATCTCTTTTTTTTCAATTGCCATCTTTTGTGTAGGCGTCACGTGGGAAGGAAACATGTAAGCAAACCTTTTCAAGTCTTTTAAAATTGTCGATGTTAAAAGAACACACACACCTAGAGATGACTGTAATTGAGTAATTAAGTTTGATTTAAAAATTTCAATGGTCTATTGTCTAACCTTTGCACCGTTTTGCTGCAAAAACAATAAAGCCGTTGAAATATGTGTCAATTAGATGAATGCCAACTGCGGAGAGCTTCAACCTGTTGATCAGAACACAGAAATGTGTCTCTTTTGCAGAACAGCTTGACCAAAAAGCACGGAATCACTTTTGGAATATTTATCACTATTAACGCGGTTCTAGATCTCGTGTTTACCTCCTTCGATGGCACTGCAGCCAATATAGTTAAGTTTAAATATCTCATAAAGACCTTCTAATTAGCATCTTTAAATTGACTCCACGGGGTGTGGGGAGGCCATTTAGCAGGCACTCAACAAGAATCTACCTATGGACTGACTTTGTAAAGTTTGGGCTTTAAAGGGCTATTAATATTTTTATTATTTGAGCAGAAAAAGCTACGCCCCAAAGGACTGTTTCTAAATGGAGACGATCCCCACCCTAACTGGCAGGAGGGGCAGGCTTTGCCCTAAGAAGGCCTAAACCATGGCTTCTTTTTCTGCTATCCGGCCGAAATTCACTAGCAGAAGGTTCCATACATGATTATTGGGGCTTCGTTACACAGTTGGGTTTTTATCAGAGTCCAGAAGGTTCCATTCTCCTCCCTCTGTGAGCACCGTAGTGATGGGATCATTGCATCGCCTAGGCTTCCTGACATTGGTCTTATTTCCAACTGCACTGTCATCCTCACCAGCCACTGCAATGCCGGGAATTAGAATACCCAAACAGAATCTTTCATATCCAGAAATAAAAATTTTTTTAAAAAGTGGGGAAAATGGCATCAAAGTCAGAACTCATCCACCAGAAAATGAAAAGGACAAAACTCCGGGTTGATCCACTATGAGCCCTTGAGTAGCATTTTCCTGGGCAGCTTCTGCTGACGGCTCACAAATACCAATAAGGGGACAGACAAGAAAATTATTATGGACAGAAATTCATTCATTCATTCACTCACTCACTCACTCACTCACTCACCCATTCCAACCTGAATACCTAAAACAATGCACTATGCAGTGCTTTTGCTGTTCAAAACCAAAGGAGATAAAAATCCAGACCTGTCGTTCAAGCACCTCATATGGGTATGGAATTTCTTCCTGGGAATTAAAAATAAAAATAAAAATTCAAAAGACACATTTGATGTTCAAAAAAGGCTGCCATTTGGAGTGAGACTTGGGAAGAGCTCATGGCAACAGGAACAGTGCCTACCAAACAGATTAGCGCTCTGTAAGGAAAGACAGAAATCCAATTAAATGCACCACACAGCACTACTTAAGGCAGACAGATGGAGAATTACGGTCAACACCATTCAAATCTGCTGCAGCATCTCACAAAGCAGGAATTTAAAGCAGTTTCTTCTTTTTGCTTGCCAGGATCACAGTAACCATTCAGAGAAGAGCCGCTATCTGGACTGTGTGCCGATTCCAAACCAGGCTTTGATTTCTCTGTCTTTTTAAAAATGGAAAGGCTTAATTGGCTTCAAGGAAAAAAGAAATCACTCTTATCAGAGTCCCTGCGTGGGCACAACACGAGGGCAGCGCCAGGTTAGCTCCACAAGCTTTCTGCCTCCCTGGCCCTGTTTTTGAACCAGCAAAAAGCAATCTATACGAACTTCTAAACTGTGAAGCTGTTCTAATAAATCTGCAAGAATCGCCCACGGGGAGAGCTTGCGGTCTGTTTTGTAATTCTCTCTGCAATCATGCAGTTGGTAATTGTCTCACAAAAGCATGTAATCAGGGGACAATAGAAATATGCAGGGTACTGGAGATTACAGAAAGGGGACAAATGAAGACAACAGGTCTAATGTTATTGAACTGCCACAGGGAAATAAAATCAAATGTTCTTTGAGTTAGTGCCTCAAGGTCAGTCTTGGATCAGAAAGCCACGTGTAATTAATAGAGGCTTAAATCTTAAGACCCACTTGAAAAATAAGTTAATTCCTTAAAAAAAAAGAGGAGGAAAAAGAAAGGAAGAAAAATACCCACAGACAAAACCATCACCTTATTGCTCAATAAAATCTTTTATTATTACCTAGAAGAAACTAAAATGAATGTTTAGTGCCAAAGGATTACTTTTCTCTTTCAGAAACATATTTTTTTTTAAAAGGCATTAAGGGGGAAAAATCAATGCCACCATGACGCACAAAATTTCTATAGCGCACATCATAGCTGAACAAGTTTGAATTTGACTCAAGGTCAGAAAGTTAAGGCAATTTCCTTAACTACCATGACAAGAGCCTGCCCCACAAAAGGGTGGTTAGTATAATACATTGTCCAATTTATTTATTTATTTATTTTTAGCTCACATTTTTGGATATTTTCTATATGCTAAATACTATTCTAAATGCTTTACAATGTGGCTCATTAATTCTCACAACTCTATGAAATAGGATCCCCTATTATTCATTTCCATTCTATGGGCTAGTAAACCGAGGTAAGAAAATATTAACAAATTAATGACCTACATATATGGAATCTCAGAATGTGTCCACTAACCACATTTTTATCAAAGTTACTAACTTCAACATCTGTAAGGGGTTCTTATATTTAAACCTTAAAACTAGTATAATATTCCACCAACCTTCCCTATCGTGAAGAGCCATAACCTACGTACCTACAAGCGTTTCTCCATTCATCAGCTCTGAAAATAACTGAAGAGTAAAAGCCACCATGAGATGCTAACATGAAAAAGTGCCATGACAGCCAGGCTGGTCCCTCCATGTCACATGTAAATTCCAGTGTCACAGAGGAGCCCAGCGTTTGATGCTCTACAGTCATTCATTGCACATTTAATCACTGTCGATGCAATTATTCATTCAACAACCATTTTTGAGTATGAACTATTAACAAGACACGCTAAATAACTAACTGCCTTGCCTGACAGAGTGAGGCTCCAGCCCCGTGTGGCTACGGCACATATCGCTTAAGGCCGTATGATTGTAGAGGTTCCCATTTAAAATCTCATGAGCAACTTCTGTGTCAGTGACTCGACTTAGATTCCCGAAGTACAATACAATAGCTCAAGGATAAGGAAGGAGATACCATCACGTGTCATGAGTTGTAACTGAACCATCGTTTTCATAAGGAAAATTGTGGTTTCCAACATTGGGGGCTAACAAGGTCTGGAATACTTTCCATGTAAGGGTGCCGAGCAGGTTAACCAGCTAATCATGTCCTTTACTCAGGGGAGGAAATCACTTTGTTCTGACTGCCCTCCTGACCCTCCCAGACTTATCAACTGTCCCCAAACAAGATGGAAACAAGCCAAATTGTAATTGCAGAGCCAGAGAAGCTGCAGAGCCAGGAAGCCAGGAGCAGGGCTGTCCTGCAAATGGCCAAAGGCAGGGCTTTCTCTGAATCCTGCCACGCCCTGTGCCAGGCAGAGTTTGCCTTTTGACTGCATCATTACTGTGCAGGGGAATAGTCTACAAATGGCTGTAGGAATCAGGCACAGGAAGCCGATTCGCACACGTGAAATACAACAAGTGTGTGTATTGTTAAAAACATGTACACCATCAACCACTGAGAGTAAAGCAACGGGGGAGGGGAAGGGGGAGAATTACTTGTTTCCGGTTGAGCTGCTTTTTCTTTCTTAGCACCACTGCCGCTGGGGTGGGATCGCTTCCGGATCATGGACATGAGGGATCTTTCAGAGAGAGAAAAAGATGGACAGGAGATTACTGGGTGCCTGATGATCCAAGAGATGACATGTATAGATCCTAAAGAGTCAGTAAATATCCAGCTCTTCTCTTAGGTATATGAATGTACCAGGAGGATTTAAGCAGCTTACTTCCCACTTTTGATAAATTAGCGAACTTTTCATCACTTCAGGGGAGAGAAAGGTGTCTCATCCCTTTCTGTGTGAAATCAATTACTGAAAGATGGGACTGCTATCATTACCAATATGATGCATGCACATTTACTAAGTAAAACAGATACAGGGGAAAAAAAAATTCGATATCCATATCTAAGATTCCAAAATACTTACGTGTCTGAGGGAGAGGGAAGGATGAAAGAATTAAGGGTTGTTTTCAGTCAATATCCATTTGGGAAACAGAGGCAAAAAATAACCTGAATCTGTGTGACATGGACCAGATACTTACGGATAAAATATACTTGGAGCACTGTCCCTTTGATCTATGTCAGTGGTCGGCAAACTCATTAGTCAACAGAGCCAAATATCAACAGTACAATGATTGAAATTTCTTTTGAGAGTCAAATTTTTTTAAACTTAAACTTCTTCTAATGCCACTTCTTCAACATAGACTCGCCCGGGCCGTGGTGTTTTGTGGAAGAGCCACACTCAAGTGGCCAAAGAGCCGCATGTGGCTTGCGAGCCGCAGTTTGCCGACCACGGGTCTATGTTTTACAAATCTGCCTAAAATGCAAATCATGAAAAATCTGACCACATTAAAAATTTAAAACCTCCATGCATTAAAAGACCCCATAAAAAATAAAAAGAAATTCTACAAATCATTTGGGGGTGGGGGAAGATAACCCAACAGGAAAATTGGCAAAACTCTTGAAAATTTATAAAAAAACAATGGCCGAGTTTCAAATACTCATACCAGAAAGGTACCTGACTTGATGAGTTTTTAGAAAATACAAATGAAACCCTCACTGACATACTGCTACACATTCATCCACTAGGCCAGAAGCTTTAGGTCTGACAATAGCTGGGGGAGGGCTCTGACCAATCCCTGGCCTCCCCTTAGCTTCTCACAACGCCCTCTACTGATCATACCTCTAGTTCTGAGAGGAAATTTGGAGAGTGTTACTGCACATAGCAATGCTCAGACTATTTGTATATATTTACACAAAGGATGTAAGAATACATGGTCATCACTGTAAAACACCTGAGTGGAGGAAGTCCTAGCTTTAAGTGCTCTGCTCTGAAGCATAAGTTGGAGACGGTATGGTTCCCAGAGGAAAGGGGCATGTAACATCAGAAAAGAACCATCTGTCAAGGTGGGCTTAGACCACCCAGAAAATAGGTCGGGTGGGTCTTGCAGTACATGTGAGAAGACCAGGACAGACCCCTGGGACCAATAATCCAAACCACTGTCTAAAGTCACCCCGTTTCAAATGAATGGGTAAAAGCGCCCTCCAAAGATAGTTCAATGGAACATATTCACCTTGAAATTCATATATAAATAAATATATATATATATATATATATATATATATATATAATTTTTTAAAATTGATTTCAGAGAGGAAAGGAGAGGGAGAGAGAGATGGAAACATCAATGATTAGAGGCAATCATTGATCAGCTGCCTCCTGCACACCCCCTTCCTACTGGGGATCGAGTCCGTAACCCGGGCATGTGCCCTTAATCGGAATCGAACCCAGGACCCTTCAGTCTGCAAGCCAATGCTCTATCCACTGAGCCTTGAAATTCTTTAAGAAGAGTTCCTCATGCCCATTGTGAGGTGTAATTTTATGAGTCAATTTGACTGGGCCAGAGGGCACTCAGATATATGGTCAAAGATTATTCTGGGTGTTTCTGTGGGGATTTTGAATGAGATTACCGTTTAAATTGGTAGTCTCTGTAAAGCAGATTGCCCTCTCTCATGTGGGTGGTCCTGACCCAATCAGCTGAAGGCCTGAAGAGACCCCTCCCCCCCCCCCCCCCCCCCCCACGTAAGAGAGAATCCCTCCTTCCTCACCACCTTGGAAGTAAAACATCTGTTTTCTCCTGCTTTCAGGCTCAAAGTGAAAGCACTGCCTGACCACTCTGACAAATACACTAAGACAACCACACCTTCCCAGGACCTGTATAAAATGACCAAAGTATGTATGCCTTCTTCTTCTCTTTCCTCTCTGCCACCTGTGCCCAGAAGATGAGGGGAAAGCAAGAAAGCCACCTAAAGTAGTCACAGGCCCTGGTCTTTGGCCTTCCTCTCCCCACTTACATTGCTACCCATGACCTTCATCATCAGAGTAAAGCAAATGGCTCAGGAACAAAGTTGGAAAACCTTGACTAGCGAATTCAAAGTCCACTGAAACTCAATCCGAATGCAAATATATTTCTCTGACAAGAAGGCTATTCTTAGCAAAAAGAAAAAAAAATCTTTTTACTGAGAAATTATGTCTCATACTATTTAAATTCATCTCAAAGTAAAATTATTCATGTTATTCAATGAATGTTCTTTAAGGGGCCTTATTGATGAATTCATGCTTTAGACACATGGTTTGAATCCTATATGCATTTCTCAATTTAGCCGTAAAGCACTCTTTGGGAAAAATATTCTATTTAGGTTATACTTTACTTTGAATCTGAAGGGCTCTTATGATTTCTGAGACTAAAAATTAAAGGCCAACAGCAAGACTATAATCGCTTTTTAATAGTTCTCCCTCCTCATGGTCAAAAGTGACCTTCTTATCAGCTCAAAACTCCAGACCTTAGAGAAGGATCAAAGTGATGAATTTCCTGTTTTAAATGTCAAATTCAGAATCTCTCCATCTCCTACAGACCTAGCCACCCAGGAGAGGAAGAATTTAAAATACCCGAAATTCTTTCAATTGACTCCTGGATCGATCACGTGTAAAAATTATTTTGCTTTAACGACTTCAATGGCTTCAAGTAAATTGTCATACCCGACTCAGTAAGGAAAACTAATGAGAATTTTTATTAAAATGCCAAGTCCCATTTTTAGAGCCGTGTGGGAGGAACACGTCACACATTCTATTCAGACGGATCGGCAAAGGTACGGGGTTGGAATAAATGGCTTCTCTGTGTGAGAGGATTAAACAAATCGCATGAGTTAATGAAAGCTAAAAACCTAGCGGATTTTTAAATTCTGTTTGTTCGAGAATAAATTATACAGGAGCAGCTCACATCGTAACAGGAGGAGCAGGAAGATGGTTTTGCATAATTCTACGTAGTGTAAGAAGACCCATAGTGCAAAAATCTGACCCTCACCCTCCTAGGATGAATGTGCTTCGTGCAGGCATCAATACCACTGAGTCACCTTGGGCTTCAGGAAAAGTGAGTTCTTGCCTGCATACATGGTTTCCTGTCACAAGAATTTAAACACTATTTCTTCTATTATTGGAAGGTTCCTTTCTCAGCGTTATCAAAGCTTTAAATATGAGGTTAGGAATAAAAACAAATGAGTACGTTCAGTTTATTAGTTTAGTCCTGTTAAGTTTTCATTTAGTACTTTTCTTCTTAGAATAATTGAACAGACCAGCACTCTCCAAATTCAAATTAGTGAGAGAGAGATGATGAAAATGCTCTGGAGAAACTAAAAAACACTCGGTCTTGCAGTTGAAAGGAAATCCTAACGCCATGGGCCACAATTTTAAAACCGAAGTGTCCAAACAATCGGTATAAATGTCTAGATGCTGGCGGTTTGGAGCATCCACGGGGAATCTGAGCCTCTACAACAGAGCACAGTCGGCCTCAAAAATGTTTTTGGGGATTTGTAAGGCCCTTTCTGCATTTATTACAAGAAGGGGAAAAAACATGGGCCTTTAGAGAATTCTCTGGGATTCCCAACAGCTGACATCATTCAAACTTCTTTGTTTAAATATATATTTTTATTGATTTCAGAAAGAGAGGGAGAAAGAAACATCAATGATGAGAGTGAATCATTAATCGGCTGCCTCCTGCACGCCCTGTACTGAGGATCGAGACCGCAACCTGGGCATGTGCCCTCTACTGGAATCGAACCCGGGACCCTTCAGTCCACAGGCTCACGTTCTGTCCACCGAGCCAAACTGGCTAGGGCTCACTCAGATTTCTTACCACCCCTCTAATGATGCAACCTGAGCCAGTATTTTTTTTAAAAAAAAAACATTAACAGAAACTTCAGGTTGTCTGACAAGGAGTGACAGTGGACGCAGAGCATCTTCCCCACGCACTCACCGGATGGGGTTGGGAGGAGGGGGGAGCGGCGGTGGAGGCGGAGGCGGTGGGGGCACTGAGTTCTCCGACTGGTTCACCCGCTTCTGGAGCTCATCCACTGCACAGAGAGCACAGAAATAAGCAACTTAGCACCAAGACAAACAAACCCGCTCTCAACATCGAGTTCTTTCTCATGAAGGCAAGTGAGGACATTCAACAGGAAACTGCAGAATCTTCTAAAACTTCTCCCCACCTAGCCTGCTATCACGAGTGCCAGAGACCTTCCATGGAGTACAAGAAAGGGTTACCTTCTCTCTGCGGCTCACACAACCAGGGGAAAGACAAAGTTCAAGGCTAAGGCCGGGCGGGTGGGAAGGACCGAGGAGGCGGACAAGCATTTGTTAATGACGAAACACACCACTCCAACGCTGAGAAACTGTTAGCACTTGACTTTTAAAATGCATGGGCCACGGGTCAATTTTAAAGGTGACATTTAGTGCTGAATTTTAATAGCATGCTTTCCTCCTCCACGCAGTTTCCTTCCAGGACTTCAAATCCTTACTACTCTGTGTAATGCTTTAAACAATACAAGAAAATTAAAATAAATAAATGAAATAAACACAGAACTGCAAGTCTTCGTGTTCTTGGTGCTAACCAGACTCACCCTCTCCGGTGTCTGTGCCTCAGAAACTGGTTGCTCTTCTGAAGAGCATTCTGGGAATAGAATGTGTTCATTCAGTTTCCGCAAGTCATTGAGGAGAGAGGCGTTGACTAAGCGCCAACCATGTGGAAGGGCCTCTGGGGCTGCTCCGGAGACCGTGCCTGACTTCAAGGAGCAGGACTGACATTTCCATCCCGGATGCCAGCACCTCTATCGGGGGCCCTAAGGGTTCCAGGTGCCAAAGACCGTGCTGTCCACAGCTGTTCACCCTCCCACACTGACTGGGCCCCCGATGGAGTGTCCTCCTGTTTTTACTCGCAACACTTAAGCAAGCAGCGTGGGCCAAGCTCTCCCACATTCCATGTCTCTCCAAAGGGAATCCGAGTTCCTCAGGAAAAAAGGCATGGTTTCTTCTCCTCTGTATTTCTTTCTCTTTTAAAATATATTTTTATTGATTTCAGAGAGGAAAGGAGAGGGAGACGGATAGAAACATCAATGATGAGAGGGAATCATTGATCGGCTGCCTCCTGCATGCCCCCCACTAGGGATGGACCCCGCAACCCGGGCGTGGGCCCTTTTACCAGGAATCGAACTGTGTCCTCCTGGTTCATAGGTCCATGCTCAACCACTGAGCCACCAGCCGGGCTCTTCTCTATTTCTTACAGTTCCCTAGGGTATGCCTGGGTGCACACAGGAGAAACTAGAACGTGTTCAAAACTGAATGTCACATCTCTCTGTCTGCCTTTCCTCTTATAATAAAGACAGATGGCTTTCTACTACCGGCTATTCTGATATTCACCAAAAAGAATGGAATGGTTCTTACTGTTAGACCAATTTTAAAAAACAAACTGCAATTCATTTTCATCATGGATTACAGAGCATCGAATATTGTTTTAAAGGAAGAAAGTCAGCTTAGTTCTTCTGGACAGATTTCAAAATTCTAGTATAAAATTAACCCAAAATCTCTGAAGTGAATATTGAAGCTGTTATAAAGGAAACAACCCGCCTTCTTAAATTATGGACCTTCCAACGGAAACTTACTCCTTATCCCTGTACCATAATCCAGCTCACACATTCCCGTTCAGCTTCCGAGAACTGAATGAATAAATCCTTTTGATTTCAGTATCCCCTGGTGTTTTAAAAGTTTTCCATTTAATACATATATTGTTGCCCATTTTATTGTGAGGTGTGATGTTGAAAGTATTATTTCAAGGGTATAATTAGACACCAAAGATGAAGGTGGTATGAATCTAAAAAAAAGTTCAATTCTTCTTAAAAATGTACCCTGAAAATGTATTCATAAAATGAACAAAATAAGTACTTAATGAACACTCGTAGCTGAAGCCGAGAAATGCTGGAATTTGGGCCTTCCCATATTAATGGTATCTTTGTTCTTAATTCTGTGTGATGCTCACAACAGCTCTGAGGTCAAAGAGATGTCTAAATATTTGTGAATCATTTCATTACAAAGGCCATTCTGCTACTGAATACCAATAGTTACAAAGAAAGGAATGCAAAAGTGAATCTTGGTGTTTTCAGAGCATTCTGTGAATGTTCGGGACCCACTGTATGCCAGGTTTTGTACTGGGCCTGAGAGAGTCAGATTAACAATCAGACATAGTAGCCTACTCCACGCTTTTACCGGAATGCTTTAAATTTCTGGCTTTCTCCTCCGAATTCTGGTACTTCAGTTCCAGTTCTTTTTTATCTTCTTCCAGCAGCTCCAGTTGCTGTTTGAGGTTGTGTATCTCTTTGTGGAGTGCTTCATTTTCCAGCTGTTCTTCTAATTCTTTGACCTGTAAGGTATAAACAGGCTTTTATGGAGGGATAAAGTTTCTTCTGTGTCCAGGAAAATAAAGGGGGGAAAAAATAAATGTTTCCCATTTACTGTGCAAATTCATAGCAAAGAGATTCCAATCCATCTTAAAAACTATATGGAGACAAAAAGATTATTTCCCTCCCATTCTCTAAGAATATACCACCATCTCTCTCTTTTTTTTTTAATATATTTATTTTTATTGATTTCAGAAAGAAAGGGAGAGGGAGGGAAGGAAGAAGGGAGAGAAAGAGAAGGAGGGAGGGAAGAAGGGAGGAGGGGAGAGAGAGAGAGAAATATCAATGAGGAGAGAGAATCATTGATCGGCTGCCTCCTGCATGCCCCCTAATGGAATAGAACACGAGAGCCTTTAGTCCACAGTGCCACTGAGCCAAAGCAGCTAGGGCCCAGCATCTTTTATTGTGAGGGGAGCACCTCAATCCTACCTCATGTCCAACCTTTTAAAAATCTTCAGAAATTTTTGAGGATAAATGTCAGTATTGTTCCTTAAAGACCCTTTGACAAATGATCATGAATAGCAGCTAACAGCCTTTCCTTCACAAATCAGGTATACTGTAAACAGTCCAAATATTGATGTACTTTTTCTGAAGTGGTTTCTTTCACTTGAAAGCTATTGTTCTAGCTCTTGGCCTCTTCCCTTCCTCCACCCCCCTCGCCTGCCACGCTGGCTAACCTTTCTGCCCAGCACACCCAGGTAGGCGGTGCTCGCTGGAACGGCTCCACTCAAACAAGCGAAATAACCACTTAGGAAATCTTTAAACATACACATCAGTGCAAGTTTACAAAATCGGAAATTTTCTCCAAGCAAACAATTGCTACCAGCAAGGACTTTTCCTCCCTCTTTGAGTAAAACCTATTTACCCCCCAATGGGGATCAAACAAAGGGTGGGTTGGATGCGTGATCCAAGCTCTCCTCAAGTTGTCTCTCCTTTCCTCTCTTCTTCTGTTCTTTGGGACAGTTTAAAATCTACAACAATGCACCATCCATTTTTGATGGCCTCTAAATTAAGTTCATTTGGTTGTTGTGGTTTTTCTAAAAGATAAAAAAGACAGACTTGGTAACTTAGTAAGGCAAAATATGGAACTCGAAGTGACCAGACCAACTCCTCTCATTTTAAGTGTTCATGCGTGCATGCGTGCGTGCGAAGACTCCAGAAGAAAATCTGTTACCTTTTGTTGATGCTGAATCTTCTCTTCCTCAAGGAGCTGGGTGAGTTTTGCATTTTCATCCAACGCTTTCAAAAGCTGCTGGTCAGGAGCAGAGCTCTGGAGCAGCAAGTGGCTTTGTCTCTTCAGCTTGTTTTGTTCAATGAACATCTGCAGGAGTTAATTAATTACGAATATGTATGTACCAGTCAATCTCACATATCTCAAAAGAAACTTGAGCAAAAGGAAAGTGATGGAGTTTTATCGAAATTTTCTGGATGCTACACAATATAACGGTTTTAGAAGCAATGGTTGCCATGATTTCATTCATAACATTTATATAATCTTCAGAATCTTTACCCTTGCCCCAACAAGGTACAATAACTGAGCCATTTTTAATATTGTATTATGGCTTTAAAATCCATTAATACTAGTAGTATCAGTATTACTGGAACAGATTTTTCCAGATTAGGGAAGCTCGAATCCCTGATGCATCACCATCTTGAGATGGAATTGTTATATCCAAAATGGGTAGTCACATTTTTGCTTTTCATTTATTATCATTTTTAATATATTTTTATTGATTTCAGAGAGGGAGGAAGGGAGAGATAGAAACTTCAATGATGAGAATCACTGATCGCTGCCTACTGCACGCCCCCTACTGGGGATGGAGTCTGCAACCCAGGCTTGTTCTTGACCAGAACAGAACACAGGACCCTTCAGTCCGCAGGCCCACATTCTATCCACTGAGCCAAACCAATTAGAGCAATTTTTCTTTTTTTAATAGACAATTAGGAGTAGGAGTGGGGAAGAAACTTTCATTTTTCACTTTACGCATTTGAGAATTGTTTGTATTTTTTACAAGGCATATATGTATCTATTCCTTTTGTAATTAAATATATAGAGTAAATGTACTTTAAAATTTCATTTCTAAGTCTCTAGACAGTAGGCTCCTAAGGGCAGAGATCCTATTTGCCTTCTTCACCATTATATTCCCACGATCGGCAGTGTCTGGTTTAATAAAATGTTTGCTGACTGCACGAAGCACAAAATGCAAGACAGCAGTACATCTCGTTAAACTAAGTCAAGTAATTTTTTAAAATACATATTTTATTGTTTTTCACAAACAGAAAGGGAGAGGGATAGAGTTAGAAACATCGATGAGAGAGAAACATCGACCAGCTGCCTCCTGCACACCCCCTACTGGGGATGTGCCTGCAACCAAGGTACATGCCCTTGACCGGAATCAAACCTGGGACCCTTTAGTCCTCAGGCCAATGCTCTATCCACTGAGCCAAACCGGTTAGGGCAAGCAGCAGTTATCTGTTAAAAATCTGAGAATTTGTAAGCCATTAAAAGGGAAAATATACTGGTTCTAATCTAGCTTTATCTTAAAAAATAGTTCTCACTATTGTGCAGATCCAATCTAGATGCCGGACATGACTGAGCACCACTGCAAGTGTTGGTGCTAGGGTGACGTAACAGCCACCCCTCTTCATATCCCTCCTCGCACGTATGTCTCCCACTCTGGGATGGCAGAACACCATTCGTTTTCCTATCCTTAGTGAAATCTTGCTTCTCTCCTCTGTCCTCTCTGCTACTGCATGGCCTTCATACTTCCTTTGAACATCACTCCACAAACAACAGGTGGCGAACTGAAAAGGTCTCTCAAAGTAAGACCCTGGCATTCAGCTCAATGGAGGCATCTTCATGTGACTCTACACTCCCTCCCCCTCGACTGTTTACTTAGCTCCATTATTTCTACTGCTGCAGCTTTTTCCAAAGGGCTCTGACACACTCCAATTCTTTCCCTTTTCTTCCAAGTAATAAGAGAACATTATTTGCTCACCTTTCATTAAACTCTCTGAATAAAATGAATCATAATATTTCAAATCAAATCTTCTTGGGCTAATCTTCTTGCATCAAGTTCATGGCTAGCCCAGCTACGTGCAAGCACAGCATGACTCCGATGCAAAACCATAATCCGATTTTCAAATGTCATTCTCATAACCCCCTGCTCTCCGCTACAGACACTTACACTGGAGAGTGTTTTACATTTCCTTGGCTACTTTCCTTCAACCTACAGTACGTACACAGACTCAAAAAGGTTTCTCCAGGATGGAACTCTCCTGCAGATCAGCTTTCCATCCTGAGTTGTTAGGGTTCAGCCAACGGGTACCTGATCATTTCCCTGGAAACCAGTCCCAAAGCCACAGGACACCAAAGGGCTACGTGGCAACCAAGGGGAGCAGAACACGAGAAGCTCAAAGCTTATCTCTAACAGGAGAGGAACTCCATTGCTCTGGTGAAAGGCTGAGACAATGGATGTCCAACATGGCAACGTTCCACGGCAAGTAGAGGCATCAACTCACACCATGAGAGCACTGGAGAGCAGCCACGGTGCTGCTACTTGAGATGGTAGACGGAGAGGTAACCTAGACGCGTAAGGCTATTTGAAACCTACAAAAGTCCTCAAGCATCTCAAGTTACAAGTGTCCCTAAATATAATTTCTTTCCTCTATGTAGTATTTTATTTTACTTTATTTTATTTTATTTTATTTTATATTTTATTGCTTAATCCTCACCTGAGGATATTTTTCCATTGATTTTTAGGGAGAGTGGAAGAGAGAGAGAGAGAAACATCAATGTGAGAGAAACACATCGATTGGTTGCTTCCTGCAGCAACCCTGACCAAGGGCCTGGACTGGGAAGGATCCTGTAACCAAGGTAAGTCTCCTTGACTGGAATCGAACCTGAGACCTTTTGGTCCTCAGGTCGACGCTCTATCCACTAAGTCAAACCAGCCAGAGCCCTCTATGTAGCATTTTAGAGTTTACAAAATACCTTTGAAAAAACATGCCATTTTAAATCCACTTGGTTATCCGGTATCATCAGATAATCCACTTGGTTATCTGTGGTGAAAGTGAAGCCCCAAGAGGCTAACGGGTTGCTTTAAGGTCATGTAAACCGGTAACTGACTGACGTGCCAAAATCTGAACCCAGATCTTCAGATACCAAGCTCAGTGAACTTGAGACGATTCCGTAGCTGCCTCCCTAAATTAGCTGATCCTTCATTCAAAGCTGTAAGTACTTACTCAACCTAAAAAAAATTATTCTGGCCAAAACCAGTTTGGCTCAGTGGAAAGAGTGTCAGCCTGTGGACTGAAGGGTCCCAGGTTCGATTCCAGTCAATCAAGGGCATCTACCTTGGTTGCGGGCACATCCCTAGTAGAGATGTACAAGAGGCAGCTGATCTGTGTTTCTCTCTCATAGATGTTTCTAATTCTATCTATCTACCTATCTATCTCCCTTCCTCTCTGTAAAAAAATCAATAAAAATATATATTTTTAAAATTACTCTGATGTGTCATCTACAAAGTTCTTTAAGAAATAAACATTTAAAAACGAGGTCTCTACAAGATACTTACCTCTTGTGCAAACGACTCTGCTTTCTTCCGAAGGTCCTTCTCCAGTTCCAAGTTCACCTGCATTTCCTCATACTCCTCTACTGCTAGCATGGACACTTAAGAAGACAAGGAAAGGAAAACAGACAATATGCCACCCAGATCATCAGGAATATGGGAGCAAAATAATGTTTAAAAGATTCTTTCTATAGCACTTGCACCTATATTATTTTAATGGTTATTGCTGGTGGGAATATAAAATGATAAAGCCTTTTGGAGAGCAATGTGAATAGAAATCTAAAATCATTCATACCCTTTGACTCAACAATTCCACTTTTAGGAATGAATTTATTCTCCTAAGAGAATAACTCATGAACATATACGGAGAGTTAGTGGCAGGGCTGCTCTCTGCATTGTTGCTGAAAAAAAAAAAAAAGTAAAATAATCTAGATGCCTCGCATGGAAGGGTCAGTGAAGTCTGATATGTATAAGAAATATTATTCTGCCATCAAAACTATATTGCAAAAGCATGCTTATTGGATAGAGAAAGACACTCATGACATTTTAAAGGGTTCATTTTTGTTTTTTAAAAGCCACATCCAAGCACATCCCCAAGGCTTTTCACAGAAGAGGACACATATAAAAGGCCCATAAGCACATGGAAAATACTCATCTTTATTAGTAACCAGAGAAACAGGAAGTAAAAACACAGATACCCTTTTAGACTCACCAAAGAGGCAACTGGCAACAATTAAAAATACACATCGAGTCTGGAGGGAACAAATACTTGGCTAACAGGGTAGTAACTTGGCCTTAGGTGGTGAAATAAAGATAACATTTTACATTCATCATACATCTTGCTAAACTCTTAGACATGTGCACCAGGGGACAATAAGAATCGTCATAACAGCATTACTTGGAATAGTAAAATACTGAAAAAAATAACAACCCTCAAACATCTACCAGTAGGATATTGGATAAATGAATCCTGGCGTAGACTTTGAATGAAATGCGATACGCACGTGAAAATAAACACCACGGCAGAGCCCCTCACCATGGACGAACCTCACAAACACAAAGCTGAAGAGGTACATGGGCGAAAATATGCCATTTTATAAAGTTCAAAGCACGCAAGATTAAGCAATATGCTGCCTGGGGACACATTCATATTTGGCAAAACTGTAAGTAAAAGAAATGATAAAAAACCAAGAGAGGAGACTGGGTAGAGATTGCTGTTCAGGGCTCGGAAGCTACTAATGGGTAAATAGAAACTCCTTTTGCTGGTATTTTGCCTTCCAGAGGTGTTGTAAACATATTTAACAATTTAATGAATGCCCAGGCTTTTGAAGATGGGAAGAATTCACACTAAGATGTTAACAGTGCTTTCCTCTGCACTGGGAAGACTGAGAGTTGTTGTGTGTGTGTTTCTTTTCCCTTTTTCCTGTCTGAATCTATAACTTTCCCCCAAAAGAAAAGCGCACAAGCTAAATAAAAAGAAAAATAGGTATAAGTTATGTTCAAGTGTTCTCCGTGTTCACAGAGAAGAGAGAGAGAGAACGCCTGTGGTCCATTCGGGCCCAGAGGCAGAGCTTGGCATTCAAGTCACCTTAGGACAGACATCTCCCGAGGGAAGATCGTGTGAAAGACAGCAAAGCGATGACACTTGATGACCTTCTGTGCTCTATCCGGTGAAACGATGACAGAGACAAGACGGGGGAGGGACGAAGCCATTGCACCACGTAGACAGATATGGCTCAGGTCTCTCCACCTGCTTGTAGTGAAGCTCTTTTGAACCAGAGCTCAGCCTGATCCGCACAATCTTTCCAAAGGCCCCCCTAATGGCTGCTTTCAAACCACGTTCCGCCGGGGCACTCAGTCCTAACTGACTAAGGACTGGTTTGCTGGGTAATGACATAGAATTTCAGACTCTGTACTCGGTGAATCCACTGCCTGCTCCGGAGAAAGGAGAATAGTCTTACTGGAGGAAAGCAATCAAAGAGGTGGTTTGGGATGTGAATTGCAGGCCCCTGGGTTATTTTCAAACCGATTTAAAGGAGAAATTTCATGAGGAGAACAAAGGAGATTCTACTACAACTATTGAAGCCCGGGACAGGATAATGGACTCGCCTTTCTGCGTCCAGAACATTATAATAAGTGAAGTTCACCTGCTCCTTCTTCCCTGGGTTCTGAAAGCAATGAGTTTGGTTCTGGTCATGTATTTATTATATAATCTCTCTGTCTCTCCCTGCAAGGGGGGTGGGGGGAAGGGTAGAGAGGGCTCTTTCTGAAGGCAAGTTCCACATGCTAACCACTGTGGAAACCTCTTTCTAGCATGGTGCATTCAAACTAGAAAATCTTCTACTATATATATATATATATATATATATATATATATATATATATATAATTTCTTCATTGATTTCAGAGAGGAAGAGAGAAGGAGAGATAAAAACATCAGTGATGAAAGAGAATCATTGATCGGCTGCCTTCTGCACATGGCCCACTGAGGATCAAGCCAGAAACTCAGGCATGTGCCCTTGGCTGGAATTGAACCTGGGACCCTTCAGTCTGTAGGCCGATATTCCATCCACTGAGTCAAGCCGGCCAAGGCTCCTACACTATTTTTATCTTCTGAAAGGTGGAAAGAGCTGAGGCAATGTCACAATGGCATGCATTCCCGCCCCCTTCCCCCTCTCCCCCACACACTTAACTACAAGGTTCTTTATTCAAAAATATCAAGTCATGAATAATGCAAAGATGGGGAACTCCCATGAACAACACGGGTGACCCTGGTTCTGAAAGATTTGCTTTTAGTGTTGCAGCTTCTGAACACGGAAAGAAGGGAGAAAAGAGGACAAACCCATAGTAAGCCCAGTCTCCTGGGTTTTGAGTTTCAATATGAGCGGGCCTTGCGTTTCTTAAGTAAAAGCACTTGTAAATGTCGCAAGACTCAAAAGCAAGGGTGAGGGGGTAAAATGAGAGAGACTCCTTGCTCTAAGTTAGGAGAACACAATACAGGAGAACAGGAGACGATTCTTGCTGCAAGAACCTTTAGGCACAGGTATAAAACAACCCGAAATCTATGTTCACCAAATACATCACACGTGTGCTTGAGAAACCAGGAGTGGAAGCACATACCTCTATTGCATTTTTCTAAGACTTTTCTCTGCTCAAGGACTTCGGAATTCAGAGCATCTTTTTCTTGCTTCACTTTATTTACCTAGAAACGTGAGATTGTGAGGGGAGAAAGCTGTAAGACAGGACATACGGCGATGTGTGACACTCAGTTGCTGTTCGACTTTCAACAGGAAACTAACACTGTAGTGATTGGCCTCGCTGTGTAGGCTTTTACTGCAGCTCTTCGTAGAGCCTCGAAGGTAGCTACTTCAGTGAGGATGGACAACTGCAGAGGCTATATTTACATGGTCCAAATGGCCTTGGCATTGGGCCCCAATCATGGTAGGGCTCTAAATGGCCAGTGTGAATGGTTCATAGTTTTAATGCAAAAATCCAACTAGACAGCACTTGGAAAATACATGAGTCATTTAGAGAGCCAATACTCAATTTTGGTATTTATTTTAAATGTTGATGCTATTTGGCTTAAGTTGAATTTTTGAAATAAAAAATATTTTCAATGTGGAGGACTATTGGCTTAAATAGAATACATATGATAATATTCCTCAAAAACTTCTGAAATAACTATTGGCATCTATCAATAGGAGAAGAGAATATCATAGACAGTTTAAAAAAAAAAAAAGTAAAGCTACACGTATCAAAGTGGATAAATCTCAAATTCCATTTTGTAGAATTAGAAATGCAGGGGTGTGAATAGAGTTGTCAGAGTGCTACGGATTGTAGTACAACTGCCAGGGCATGCATTGCCAAGATACAACCAGAGTTCAGAAGAGTGGCTGTTTGAAGAAATGCAATTGAAAAGAGAGACAAAGAGAGAGAGAGAGAGAGAGAGAGAGAGAGAGAGAGAGAGAGAGAGAGAGAGGACACACCACGGTTTCAACACTATTTTCATGTTTTATGTATTAAGCCAGGCTATAGGCACATAGATGTTCATTATTTTGTTTCCAATATTTTCCAAGTGTCTGAAACAGTCCTAACCAAAACAACTTCTGAAATGGCTCCCAAGCCCACCTCTCAGCAGCAGGGAGTGAATCTCTGATCATCGCATCTGAGGAATGGCGTGCCTCAGAAGGCGTTTCCTGTCTCTCTCCTATGGTTACCCACACAAATCAAACCAAGACCATGGGCCTGAAGGGGCCTCCGAGTCCAGTGATATTTCGGAGCGTCTCCGAGCTGATTTCTTTGGGTATAAGTGCTATTTTTTATTTTGGTTTCAATTAGTAACCGGCATAGCATGGCCACCAGTAATGCTATTTCCAAAATGCCATCGTCCTTCTCCCCATTCATGCGGATGTGTCGCCACAATCCACGGAAGCACCCAGTGGGTGGGCACTGCTTCCCGGCCTCTTTCCCACGATGGTGCCTAAGAAAGGGACAGCACGAGTCTGGGAACTGGGGTACCCGGAGGAGGTCCCTCGCTGAAGAGGATCAACACCCTGGCCCCCTTGTCAGCCCTCGGAGGAATATCAAGGGGCTCCAACACGCCGGTTGGGAAGCTCTGGGCTAAGGATCTGAGAACCATTGACAGACGCCAGGTCGAGATTGCAAAGGCAGATGCTTGAAGCCTCGTGAAAAGAAAGGCAATTGTTTGCTCCTCTTAAAGACAAGTGACGAAGAAAAATAAGTTTCTCCAAACACCTACTTGAACCATTCTACCCCCTGGCATATGGGCCCGTGTTGGAGGAACAGCCCTTCCCAACGGAGATAGCCACTCCCTGGAGAAGCAGCACACTTCTTCACCCGCCGTGATCAAGTGTCTGACTTAGGCTCAAGACATCGATCTCCAAATCTGCCTTCTGTAGTGAGGTCTGAGGGGCCATAGAGAACACTGAGTGCTACTTCCGTGTTGTATGTATGGAGCTAGGCAGTGGGTGTATGAATGCTCAGGGTCTTATTATCTACACTTTTCGGTATGTGGGGAGCAGAGCAGAACTGGTACTTGGTTCTCATGTCAGGCATCGGCTTCCAATGGCAATGGTTAACACGGCCAGTCCCCAGACACCTCGAGAACACCAAAGGCCAGGCCTTCCGGGCCCAAGATACATACTTCCTCAATGACTTCCGCAAGTTTGCTCTTGAGGTTTTCTAGTTCGATGGCTAATATCTTCTTTTCCTCCTGAACGGATACAATCTGATCCCGAAGTTCTGCGTTTTTCAAGGAAAAGAAAAAAAATGAGGGGACATGTATACAAATAAACATAATTTTTTAAAAGGGGAAATCAATCTTGTCCGAAGCACTGAAAATGCCAGCCCACGGGCAGTGCATGGTCAAGGTCATTTAACAATTAAAAGGAAAACAAAGAAGCAAAGGATGATGGAAATCTCGCTTTCAAGCCCCGCCCCTCCCCCTAACACAGCCATGGTTATTAATAACTTTATATCAGGCAAACTCACGGTGTTAAATGTACCAGATCATGTTTTCTTTGCATTCCAGCAAACCCACATTCAAGAAAACGATCTGGCATTTCAGAAGCAAAATTGGTTAAGCTTTCAGCAAAATAAATTAAGGCATGGCAGTAATTTCTCTTTTTTATTTTATAACGGCCATGGGCTCTTGTCACAATACAATATAAACAACTGGGCAGTTAATAATTTGGAGATTTTGATTTGAAGAAAAATCCTGATTTTCTGCCAATTTATAGCCCTTAAACATTATTTGAACTGACTCAAAATATAACCTATTTGGAAAAGGGTTAATTCTAGTAATTTTCTCTCCAGAGTTGTGGGTGTTTTGTTTCTTAATTTATTTCATATTTGCTGGTACCGGGATCTAATGAAAACGGTGTTACTGGAATGGAAATATTAGTGACTGTGAGTGCAAAATCTTCTGATGGGAGATTAAAGTTACTTCCGCCACTCAAACGTTAAAAAGACATATACACGGGGATAAGCACAGGGTCCTCAAATTGGTACCCAGGCTTCTGGTTTTGCCACTGAGTCTTGAACTGCTCTTAATTTCTCAACCTCCTGCCGGGACAGTAAGAAACCCGCTAATGTGGTTATTTATAAGTTAGGTCAAAGTTTTTACACAAACCCAGCTTGCAGGAGTTCTCAGAGACTTATTTCAAAATCACTCTCTCTACTGGCTGGCCACCTCCTGAAGGAAGAACAAGAGATCACACTGTTCAAGACCCAACAGAAGAGAGGATTGTGGACAAAAGAAAATCCTTTAAGCTTCTTCTCTCTCTCCTCACCAACATAAATATTATTTTGTCCCAGGTTAAGGGAGCGGAGAGTCCATTAAAGATGACTTTCTCTAGACCAGTGGTGGGCAAACTCATTAGTCAACAGAGCCAAATATCAACAGGATAATGATTGAAATTTCTTTGGAGAGCCAAATTTTTTAAACTTCTTCTAACGCCACTTCTTCAACATAGACTCGCCCAGGCTGTGGTATTTTGTGGAAGAGCCACACTCCAGGGGCCAAAGAGCCCCATGTGGCTCTCAAGCCGCAGTTTGCCGACCACTGCTCTAGACAGTCATCCCTGGGTATCCACAGAAACTGGCTCCAGGACCCCTTCAGATAGCAAAATCTGCGAACGCTCACCTCCTTTATATAAAATGGCATAGTAATTGCACACACCCTTAGCACATCCTCCTGAACACTTTAAATAATCTCTTGATATAATACTCATACAATGTAAATGCTACGGAAATAGTTCTTATGCTGTACTGTTTAAGAAAAAAGCTCTGTACATAATCAGTACAAATGCAACTATCTTAGATCGAACTACACTGTACCTGTCAGCAGCAACATAACATTTCCCCATCTAAATATTTTCTATCTGCCATTGGTTAAATCCACGGATGCGCAACCCACTGATATGGAGAGCTGACTGTACTTTACCCTTAAACTTCCAAATGAGGTGTTGCCTACCAAGCTAACAAGTATTACTTCTGAGGTGTGCACTAACTTCAAGTCTCCCACTAGTTATTGAACCAAAATCTGCTTTTCGACACCTTTCACATACACAATACCAATATGAATAAAATAAGTGTGTATCTGATAGATGTATCATGTGACCTTGCCTAACAGCACTTCTTGCTAATCAACACAGTTTTTTCATACTGCATAGTGTGGATAGCTCACTGCCTGAATCCGATCTTTGAGGGCACAGACTAAGCAATTGGGGAGGAATCTTCCCCAGAGATTCCAACAGAGAACCACAACCAGGAGCTGTTGACTAAAGATATTTTTATTCACTCTTCCATTTCATTATTATTTCACCCAAAAATATCTTAACATATAGTCCCTACTCTTAAGAAGTTTATAGACTAACTGGGCTGTTTGTCAAGACAATGCTTTCAAAAGTGCCTCGTCCCAAACAAGAAAGCAGCTCATGAAACACAGAGGTGAGAGCCTGTCTGGACTCTCACCCACGCTCCACTTTAGTGCACGTAAATCAGAGTTTTTTCAAGGTAAAACCCAGACATCGGTATTTCTTAAAGTTCTCGTGTGATACCAATGTGCAACCAGGGGTGAGAGACTCGATCAAAAATAAGCTCAATAATTAAGCACTGGATCTCACCTTTGATCTGCTTCTGGCACTGCACTGAGACACAGGGCTCAGCAGTAGCCTCTGGATCCGTAGTTGGTTCTTCATCATCAATGTTGATCTCTTCAGTTATCACATCTGGTCCCAGCTTGGCCATGTATAGCATGCTGATTCTCTTCAATGTCTTGTTTTCTTTATTTAGCTAAGGCAAAATGTAAAAACAGTTATTTTAACAGCAGTCAAATGAGTATCTTGGGCTTCTAAACAACAGACAAGTCAAGGGTACTTTCTGTCTTACATACTCATCAACATGCACAGCAGGAAATAACAACTAGAAGCCTCATGAAATAGGCTTTTATTTACACTTTTAATAATAAAGTTATTGCTTTAAGGAAGGCCTGATGCCTGGGTGACAGCCAGCAGCATGTGGGAATGCTAGTTATCACTGACAAGAAATAGAAGAGGAATTAAGATCAAACACCAGCACAGATTAAGCCCAATATCAGTTTGATTGTCTAAAGTAAGGCACTTAATTTCAGGCAAATGTTTTCTTCGTTGCTGTGCTGCAAACACTTTTTAAAGGTCTCTTTATCCCCCTTTCGCCACAACTCTTCACTCTTCCACGCGATTCCTATGGAGCAGCCTCAGTCCCCGAAACACACCCTGTCTCTTTGGCCATAGCTGCGTAGACCAGGGATTGGACTCAGGGCCCAAGCTTGGCCAGCTGGACCCCTTCTCTAGAAATCTGGAGGCTGATCAGAGATGAGCTCCTTTCCATAGGCCTGGAGGTACAGAAGCTATTTGTGGCCACATCCTACTACTGGATAGAGGAAGAGAGGAAGGTGGTTTTAGGCAGCAAAGCCAAAAATGGAGGTGATGTGTAGAGAGGCAGAGAAAAGCAATGGAGATAGGGTTTCCCACATGCTCCTGAACTGCATCCAGCACACAGAATGGACGGGATTCTCCAATCCCTCTGTAACAAATCCCTGCTTTTTCTTCTCTTGCTAATTAAGCCAGTGTTCAAGATGTGTTTCTATCTGTACAGAGTTCTAACGATACACAATAAGAGGAAGTTCAAGATAGGTTCCCATTGTCTCTATAAAAAGAGTTCGAACTCATAGCAGAGAAAAGGAATCCTAATTCATTGAGATATGTTATTTGTTAATGTAGAAATGGGTTGTTTTTTAGTGTTACGCAACTATCATTACCTTTTTAGCTCATGTATCTATGTGACTATAAAATGTTAGTTCAATGCACACACAGAGTAGCCGTGGTCCAAAATCCACAGGATGAAAACATGGCGTTACTGATGTTTTCTTAAGACTAAAAAGTCTTTTCTCTTACTTGAGTACATGAAAGTATTGACAAGACTGATTTTTCTAGTTAAAATGTAAGACAGAAATGCAATCATATTTCCTTTAGTAAGATCTATTAATCATTAAGACGTGTTCTGAATAACTGGCACTGAAAAGGTATAAACAGAAACATTATTCATTGGAAAGCATACCGCCCTTCCCGACTATGTACCTCACACCAGAATAAGATGGTTAGTCCGGTACTTGGTCTAGCTTTGGCCCTTCCTTTATGATCATAATTTGAATCCCTCAGGGAACCTCCCAGAAAGCCCAGCCCATTCCAATCTGGGAGATCTAATTCCTCCCCAATAAAAATAAACCTAAATATATCTCAAGTAGCTGCTCTGGAGCACAAGAGGTGCTTCCTCTCTGGGGAATCAGGAAGAATCTCCTAGAAATGGCTTTGAATGCCCCATAGATTCTTCCTGGGAAGCCTGGAGAGATCTATTCAGGGACTCAGACACAGCCTTCATTTCCCAGCCCCAGCCCACAGCTCCGGCTCCTAGCTCCCCAGATTACATCAGATTTCCCAACCCCTCTTCCTTAAAATGGAAAATTCAAGTCAACGCTGTTTGGGGTGGGGGTGGTCTTTGAACCATGAACGCTACAGCATACCTAACTCTACAGCAATGGTTCTCAACCTTCCTAATGCCACGACCCTTTGATACAGTTCCTCATGTTGTGGTGACCCTCAACCATAAAATTATTGTCGTTGCTACTTCATAACTGCAATTTTGCTACTGTTATGAATCCCAATGTAAATATCTGTGTTTGTCCAATGGTCTTAAGCGACCCTGCTAGGGTTCTCAGCTTGTGGGTCGCAAACCGCTGCTGTACTCTTAAATAAATCAACCCTGTCCTATCCCGACACTTAGGACAAGGTAACTATAGCTCAGGGAGGTGGATTCTCTTGTTCAAAGTCGCCTGTCAAATTAAAAAGGTGGGGAGGGAGGAGATAAAGTAATTTTTTAAATTATTAAATGGATCAAGTGTATAGTGAAAAAAAGAATAGTCTACCCCAGTAGTCGGCAAACTGCAGCTCGAGAGCCACATGCGGCTCTATGGCCCCTTGAGTTTTTAGCAAGGCAAGCTTAGGAGGACCCTAATTAAGTTAATAACAATGTACCTACCCATATAGTTTAAGTTTAAAAAATGTGGCTCTCAAAAGAAACTTCAGTTGTTGTACTGTTGATATTTGGCTCTGTTGACTAATGAGTTTGCCGACCACTGGTCTACCCCATGCTCATTCCAGTACTAACTCTAGTCCATCCTGTCATTTAAGACGAGACAACAATATGGGAAACACGATTAACTGACCCAGAGTCACACATGCCTAAAATGACATAATCAGGAATAACACCTGTGTCTACCACCTCCCAAACCACCGATTTCCATGAACTCCCCCAGTCCTGAGAGGTGGTCACTGTTCTCTATTTGGGTGTTCTATTGTGACAGGGACACTAGTTAATAACAAGAGAAAATACAGAGACCATCCTTAGAGCATTTAGTATGCTCCCCATATATTTTCCCTGCTTGTTTCAAAAGAAGAAATACAGAAAAGGAAGAGAGAGTCCACTCAGTATTATGGACCAGTGAACCTCAGTGATGGGCAGGAGAGTGGAGATTATATGAGAGCACCCATGTTATCAGTTTATAAAGCGATGGCCTATAATGCTGTGTGTTCTTCAGACAAATAGCAGAAGAGAAGCTACACACACATATTTATATTCTTAGTTAGGTTCCAACTGCATATCTTATGAATTCTAATGTAGTGTCATTATGCAAACAATTAAGCAAATACCTCTAGCAAGCATCCTGTTAATGCATACACGTTAGACAGATACATAGATACATAGATGTGTACCATTTCAGTCACATGAAAAGACATACTTTAGAGGAAGGTGATGGGGGGGAAGAGAAGACTCACAGCCGGCATTACTAATGAAATTTGGGTGAAAATTGCTGCAGTCCATTTTCTGATGAAATGGTTCAGATGCCTTTTACGCAACCCAACACACATAAGACAGAGATGAAAACATTCTTTAATAATAATGTACTTCTGATGAGGCAGAATATAGAAAATTACACACTTGGTAAATTCATCAGCTAGAAGCAATCAGCAGAGCCCTGGGGTCACCTTCCGCATACCCTCGCTTTGCTTTCACAAATAATCACCTGAAATGCCAGGCTGGGGGCTGACTTTTTCATCGAGGTCCAACACGGAACACTCACTGCTCTTTTATGTCACCCCGGCCTAGTCGGAAATGTGGTGAGCATTTTAACCGAATGAATAGACATTCGGGAAGTCCAGTTCAACAGATTACTCCGGGACTACTTCTCGTGGGCAAAAAGCACAAATGCTGAAACACACAACACACACACACACACACACACACACACCTTTTCTAATAAAAAGAACCTCAGCAAATACCTCTAGCAAGCATACTATTAATGCATACAAATTAGATAGATACACAGGTTTGTAGAATTTCAGTCAGATGAAAAGAAATACTTTAGGAGAAGGTGATGGGGGGGAGGGGAGGTAATGAACACAGATATTTACATAATTATATTCCAGGATTCTGAGACCTTACAACACTTTCCTCATCCACAGTGGAGATGACAGACTGAAAAAGTGAAAAAGAAAATGAAAAACAACATACACAAAAAAACCCCAAAAAACAAAAAAAAACACACAGAAGCCGCTGTGTAGAAAAGCAGGCAGACATGGAAAGGCTCAGTTCGCGTTTCGTTCATTAGGAAATCTCACCTTAGTTGCCAGGGCTTCAGCGCTCTCTCGACAAGTCTTCTCTATTTCAAGATGGTTCTGCATACAATTCACTTCCTCTATCACCATGTGAGAGACTAGGAATGAGGGGGGAAAAGTCTCAGCATTCAGAGATTAGTCAGCTATTCCAGAAGCCCACGCATCTTGCCCCATGATCAAGAATACTTCAATTCTTTCGCTGGCCAGACCTTTAGGGATGGTGAGGGAAAGTGTTTAAGATGCCACCCTAGTTAAATCGGAGCTGATATTTGAATGCAGAAAGGAAAAAAAGAACACAACAAAGAACTTTTATTGCTACAGGCACATTCTAAGAAAGCTATTTAAGATTATTTTTAAGTGTCTATTTTCACTGTAGCTTTTTTTGTAACTGCCAATTTAAGCAAAAGGTCCACATAAATAGTGACAAATGTGACTTCTTTTTCTTACAGGATATACAGTTGGACCTAATAAGGAAAATTAGCTAAAGAGAAAATTTTAAAACTTACATCTTGAGTTGATCCCATACCTGTAATATTAATGTGGCAGTTTAGCTGAGTTTTGCTACAGTCTTTATTAGTGACCCAGTGGGATTCACTATTATTTCATAAACTCCAGGGCAGAGAAGTATACAGCAACAAGATTTTTGTGCTATTAATATATAATAATGAAAACAGATGCTAATGAGTTGTATCCCAGACTGTCAGAAAGATTGAAAAAAATAAAATTTTGTTATTTTAACACTGCTTGAAAAATAGTCCTTTTCAGATTTTTTCTTCTTATTTTTTGGTAGCTGGTTTATATACTTAGAGGTTTAAAGGTACAAAGTAACCGGGAACTTGAATTATACTTTGAAGAACAAGTAAGAAGAATGCCAATTCCTTCCACCCATCTTCCTAGCTAAAAGAAAATGCTCAGAATCTCAAACTTACTTAACTACACAGACAGGTAAACTTACTGACGTGTGTCTGGCTTCACAAAAGAAAAATGAAGGATACCCAAACGAGAAACCCAACAAAGTTAGGCGCGAAGCCTTGGGCTCACGTAACACAAAGAGAGATTACTTTTGCTTCATTTAAGCTTCATTAACCTGTAATTATGATGATTAAACTCAGGGGAGAAAAAAAAAAAATTTCTCTCCGAATTAAAAAAAAAAAAATGTATTACTCCCTAAGTCTGTCCAAAGTTCTTATTATGTTAATATTCAAATTCATAAAGCAGCCCTAAATGGCCAGAAACATCTCTAACCTTGACATTTTTTCCGGGGGGGGGGGGGGGGGGTAATAATAATCTGCAGCAAATGCAGGCCAACCAAAAACCACTTAACTAATTAGTAGTTGCAGTCAGCGAGAAAAAACATGAATCAACACTGTTATTACAAGTGGCACATTTGAGTGGCATCTAATTATGACTTGATGAGCACGATCCTTGCATTATCAACATTACTACCGCATCCCATCAGGCCCTAAAAGCTGCTGATGGCATTGACTTCGAGAAACTCCCACTGCAGGGCACGGCGGCACCCAACAATCGGCCTGGCAGGGGCCCCCCTCACGAAATGACACGTTAAGCGTAATTACTGGTAAGGCATTGTAAATAAACAGGATTGGAAGTGAAAATGGTACCGAGTGCATAAGACACAATCTGACACATTGGAAGTGGCAGCCTTAATTGAGAGTTTCTTTGACTGCTCAAGATCATTTCAGGCGCATTTCTCCGGCGACAGTGATTATAACTGTGGAGACAGACGGCATAATGGTATCAGCACTGCTGACAGAGCAGTGAATTAAATTGTATCTGCTGTTGTGTGAAAGCCTTGATGAGAGGTACAGATGCCTTAGTGGTCTTATCATTATAACACAATGGTCATGTTGTCATCAACCTTTCTGGCTCCAATTGAAAAGAAATGATTGTGTGTGGAGGCTGGCCCCCCCCCCACACACACACACTCCCCCCCTCCACGCCACCCCCTCCTCCTCTTCTATCTCTTGTTCTGAATAGAACCAATTTTCAGAGAGCTATGAAATCACGCAATAGGTCCTAAAATGCAGCTGCTTGGCATACAAACGGGTCCCCATTAAACTGGAATCACACACAATATGTGTTTATGCCAGGAGAACAAATAGAAGCTGAACACAGACCAAGTTTATTCACACACACAAAGCCCGTGTAGCTCTTCATCAATATAATTGCCTTTTATATTGTAGTTTAAATAATGGGCTCTATTATTTCCTTAAAATCCTAATATTCCTGGCACTTTATCACTATATTTACAAGGTAGGTTCTTCAAAAAATGCAGAGGAAAGAGAAAAGAAACCTATACAATTTTTTTTTTTTCTTTTACAAACATCAAATATGACTTTGAATTTTTAGCCTTAACTACTTGACATCTTCTGCCACAATCTGGTATTTCCACTATCATAACAAAAACATAAACACTCTGCATGTTTCATAGGAATTCGGCTTTTTATTCAATAACATTCTTGCTCCTGGGAAGTGTAAGAAAAAATTATTCCACAGTCACAAGGTTTAGGCCTAGCAAAAAAAGAAATAACAACATGTATTTTCCAAACATTTTGTAAAAAGCTTCCCTGTGATTTAACTTGATAAACTTCGCGAGGTAGCACTAGCCCACATTTTCTCCAATTCTGCTATGGAATACCCCGTCACATGAAGGGTTTTTACTTCTTCCTTTAAGAGGGAACAGCACAAATAAAAAATGGTGCTTTAATTTTTAGTCTAAAAAACTGTCCCAATGCTAAACTGGTATCAGAGAACCCTGCTTAGCAATTTTCTAGATTCAAAAGGGAGGAACATATTCCAAAGAGCATTTATACCTTTAAGAAGTATGACCCTGTTTCCAAAACCACATGTCACGTCACGTGACACAAAACTTCTTTTAATATACATAAGTATTTGCACCTATAAGAGGATAAACATTTTAAAACCCTTTAATTGTTCATTTAATGATTTGCCTAAGGTTCTAAAATCAGGCTTGTCTCACAATATTCACAATCCATGACCACTGCACCTAAACCACCTATAATTTGAATGACATGAAGGCTTAAAAAAAACAAAAAGAATGAGCTTTAAAATAAAATGACCCTATTCGTGCAACTACGTTTTAAAAATCCTAGCATTTTGGAAATGCTTACTGAAATAGTTACAGATAAAATATGATGACTGGACTTAGTTTCAAAATAATCTGAGGTCAGTGAGCATGGGTGAGTGGATGTACAGAAGAAAGAAGATTGGCCATGAGTTGATAAACGTGTTGGGTACACGGTAGTTCATGATACTATTCCTCACTTTTGTATAAACTTGAAATTTTCCATAATAAAAGTTTTTTGAATGATTCTGAGAACTCAGAAGTGTGGCCTAAAAATACATCATTTATTGTTTCTCTCAAGTTGAGTTGAATTAGCAAAGTTTGACTCTTCTCTTCCATGACCCCAAAACATGCCTGCACACTTAGCATTAAAGAATACATGACAGTCTGAGGCAGTAGTCGGCAAACTGCAGCTCACGAGCCACATGGGGCCCTTTGGCCCCTTGAGTTTTTAGCAAAGGCCAGCTTACGAGTACCCTAATTAAGTTAATAACAATGGCCTACCTATATAGTTTCAGTTTAAAAATTTTGGCTCTCAAAAGAAATTTCAATCATTGTACTGTTGATATTTGGCTCTGTTGACTAATGAGTTTGCTGGCACTGGTGTAGGGGAACTGGGTCTTTTAAAAACTTGTGTTTGTCTTTTACTAACTGTGAGTACTAGAGCAGAGATTTATTTTTTCTGCTCCTGTCTAACTCTCTTGCACTTAGCGCACTGCTATGTTCATGTTATCATGTTACCATGTTTGTGCGTGTTTCTAGGACTGGGAAAATATGTCAGGCCTAAGTTCACCTGTGAATACCCTTTTACAGAAATGTTCTCCGCCATGGAGAATGGCTTGGGGTAACAACCACCATCGCCAGTTGAACTAACTCTGTATCCAGCCTTGCGCTAAACCCTTTGCATGGATTCTCTCATGGATTCTCTCATGAATCCTCATGACCTCCCTGGGAGGAAGGTATTGTCGCAGCAAATTTATATCTGAGAGCCCTGAGGCCCAGAGAAGTGAAGTAACAAACCCCCGAGGACAGAGGTCCAATTGCTAAAACCCAACCAAACCTATTTCCAGGGGACTCGGATTTTCTACGTTCCCTTCTAACCTGTCATATTTAAAGGTGATACCACCCAGGAGGCTGCTTCCTGAGCTAAGCACCTCTCCATCCAGCCACCTCTCAACAATATCTAGACGCCAGGATGTCTGTGAGGTGTGCATGGTGAACGTACCGGAAGTCCGTCTGCAGCATCAGATAACGTGGGAGGGTTTTCATTGTAGTAAGAAAACAGACATGGAAGCCGCCCGGCATGGGGATACTGGTGTGCCCTACACCTGGGCTAAGGGTCTCCGGTGGAGGCCTGAGTTCACGAAAGCGCTGTCTTTACTGCTACTTTTACAGGAGCCTGTCTTTCTAGGAAACACGGCTTTGCTATGAAGTGGTATTGTCGTGCAGAAATACAGGAAAAATGCACAGGAAGAGCTGGTGGAGGGCCAAGAACAGCACGGAAATGCGGGGTGGGCAACAGTGGGATCATCTTTTTTTTAAAATATATTTTATTGATTTTCTTACAGAGAGGAAGGGAGAGAGATAGAGAGCTAGAAACATCGATGAGAGAGAGCAACTGCCTCTTGCACACCCCTTACTGGGGATGTGCCCGCAACCAATGTTCATGCCCTTGACCGGAATCGAACCTGGGACCCTTGAGTCCGCAGACCGACGCTCTACCGCTGAGCCAAACCGGTTTCGGCACAAAGAACATTCTTTTGAGTTAATAAAGCTATTGTAATGATCACGACCTGCCATGTCATTTTTCCGTACCAACAACTATAAACCTACTTTTGCCTGCCCCTGTATGGCCCAAACCAGTGGGGAAAAGCAGGCTAAGCCAGGGAGAGTAGAGGTTGCCAGTTTGACTCCTGGTCAGGGCACATGCCTGGTGGGGGCACACAGGAGGCAGCTGATCGATGTTTCCCCTCTCCCTTCCTCTCTCTGTAAAACTCAATTTTTAAAAAAAAAAAAAAAAAGGGTTTTTTTTTTGTTTTTTTGTTTTTAAGTAATGGACTTCAGACTCAATTTTCTAAAAAATATGTAAAGCTTTCTTGGTCCCCACTAAAAAGTCCCACAAGAACTTCCCACTGCACACAGTGCGCCCACCTACGGCCCATATTTAATGCAGCCCCTTAACTGGTCACAAGGTCAATGGCATAATGTGGATGTGACACTGGGTATCAGCACAATGTGAGGACATCTCGTTTCTCCTGCATGGGAGGATGGGGGGAAGGCGAGAGAAAATCTCACGCAACTGTAATTCATACATGCACACGCAGGAGTGATTTCTGTCACAGCACACTGGCCTCCACGACAGGTCACATCAACCATTCCCCGTGGCTTTTCTTCACTCCAGCAGATGCTTGCAGTAAACCGGCTATTGCCATGCAACTGCAAGGCTGCACTTTCCTAGCCGTTCTATCTTCAAGGAGAATACAGTGTTTTCTTCCGTAAGTGACCAAGTGAACAAGGTGATATAACCGAAGAGCCTGCGGATGCAGCATCTGCAGGGCAGTGGAGGAAGGCCCTGCTGCCAGGGGTGATGTGGTCACGTTCCCTGCTCAGGTCCGGCCCTGTTCCCAGGACACATTCCCTTGTGATCTTTCTGAGTGTCCTCACATATGTTTTATCGTAGGGGATAACGTGCTATACCACATTTATATCCCATAAAAATTAACACGGCAAACACTTAGAAATAAGTATTACAACTTCCGTGGGAGAAGGACCTTCCTTGGGGAGGGGCCTGTTTCTAACTTTCAGACCTTAACATTCTGTGAATCTAGGATTGCTTCTTTATACCCTAAGGAACTAATCGTGTAAAGATGGATGTGCTATAGGAATACTTTATAACAGCTAAAAACCAGATAGAATCCATCTACCACGGAAGAAACATTTAAATAAATGATGGTACTATCATATAACAGAATACTATGGGCAACAATTAAAACTAATAATACATTTCTCCTGGTGTGCAGAGATGACCCTAATATAGTGTTGACTGCAAAGCTAAAGGCAAAGTATGACTATATTCCTGGGAGAGAGATATATTATACAGATAAAAGGCCAGGGAAGAGAAACTGCAAAATACTAACATCGGCTTTTCTCAAAAAGTCTAGATGACAAGGAATTTTTGTTCTCCTTTAACTGTTCTGAGCATGCAGTAACATTTTTTACAATAAGCACAAACTGTCTTTTATGATAACACACTCATAAAATATTAATATTCATTCCATTTCTTTAAGAATCACAGTAATGCCAGGGCATGAAGGGGGCAAATGGGAAGACAATTCTTGCTTTCTTGGATACCCAAGGCATCAGTAACTAAACATAGGGGACATGTCTACCCACGTAAGCCCCAAACACAGCGCTGTGTGTTGTAACAACTCCAATGAAATGCTTACGTACTCTTCTCAAATTCCTCCAGTTTTCTAACAGCTTCGTCTCGTTCTTGCCTGATTTTGTCACACTGAAATGAGAAAAGACGGTAAGAGTGAATTTGGATCATAAGTCTGGAAAGACAAGAAAGAGCAAACTTATAAACAATAGCAACTTTGTGAAAAGAAAACAAAAATTAAAAACCTTTTAAAAAGCACGAATGGTCTCACAGGATTTGAACTGCTCAACCAGCCTGGGCCTACTTTCTCGGGCCTTTTAAGATAATGACTCACCTTACTGCTTCTGATCAGCTGAGTAGCAGACCAATTTAACATCCTTTGGCGGAAATACATTCACTCTTTAAGAGAAGAGTTGTGCCTCTTAAGTAGGTATTTTGCAAATCCAGGGGGCACCCCACTCCCTTGCAGGTCAGGTTCCCTGAAACTGGAGGGTTTCAAATATCCAGAACAGCGGCACACAAAGTGGAGTGACCCCTATAGGAAGTGACCACCACATGGAGATAAACCGCTGCCCTGAGCACTCTCTGGCTCAAGGAAAAATCATCCTTGTGTCCTTAGAGTTCTAAATAGCAGGCAGCATGTAAAAGGAAAGAAGATAGAATATTCCACAATAAGCATGTCATTTACATCAACAAATGGTACTATCATATAGTACCATTTTTCCTTTTAAAAGGTGGGAGGACTCATCGAAAAATCTTTGGGAGGTAAGACCATAAAAGGAAAAAAAAAAAACCAGCACACACCCAAAAAACTACTGAAGCATGAGGACCTTTCAGGATATCTGATATAGAAACAAGTATTTAATACTTTAACAGGCCCTGAAGGTATAAATGAATTTTTTTTTAAAGCCTAATATTCATTATGAGGACTAAATTCACTTTACCCTGAATTTCACAAAATGGGCAAGTATAATACTTTTAGGAAGATTTTTCTCCAGTCTAAAACTTTAAAAAGTGAGATTAGCTATTAGAGTGAGCATTAACATCTTAATTTTGTGGATTATTTTAATAAGAGGACTATTTGAATAAAACACAACTTTATATAATATTTTAATCCTACTATGCCAGATAAATACACTGAGTGGCCATATTATTATGATCTCTGAAGGCATAATAATCTGACCACTCAATGCATATCCTATATAATAAAAGGCTAATATGCAAATTATCCCCTCAACCAGGAGTTCGACCAGCAGGCAGGCCTGCCAACTGCCCATGTTCCCTCCTCCTGGCCAGCTGAACACACACACACACACACACACACACACACACACACTGAGTGGCCAGATTATTATGTGTTCAGAGATCATAACAATCCAGCCACTCAGTGTATATTAGGATTTCATGCCTTTGGATATTTCAAATTTCTATGGCAAAAAAATAATGATGCCACTGACAATGTGAAAAACTCAAATGAAAATGGTGAGATAATCTCATCTAACCGACTGGCAAAAACTGAAAAAGTCTAATGCCAGGAGCTGGAAACTCACATACTGCTAGTGGGAGTGTCACCAGGCATAACTACTTTGGAAATAAACTAAACTGAAAATGCACACACCCCATGTATGACTCAGCAGTTCTACTCCAGGGCTCTATTCATGGAATCTCTAGTAATGTGTACAAGATGATATATACAAACATGCCGAGCATTTATAGCAACAATAAGTCATGGTATACTCATATACTACACTGTGAAATACGCAGTGAAGATGAATGTGTGTGTGTGTGTGTGTGTGTGTGTGTGTGTGTGTGTGAGTGAGTATTTCATGATACATATAGCATATATAAAAATACAAAAACATAAAATGGAAGAAATAGACAAAATTTATGAAAAGATAGGGAGGGGAAGGAGGCTCTGGTTGGGGAACAGAGATGCTATTCAAAAATTGTATCAGAAGCATTCTTTATTTTTTAATTTCAACAAAAATAATTTAATTCTGTATTTGCATATCTGTTGTTTTATTCTCTTCCCTTTTCGGCACTTTTAAAATATTTTCAAAATAAAAATAAAGTAGAGAAGCAAACAATTCAGTTTTCCTCTTTAGTCTCCCAAGAACACAAACTTAAAAAAAAAAACCCTGGGTAAACCCACTCTGACTAGAGTACACGAAACCAGTACACAGAGCTAAATTAGCAAAGCTGTTCACTGCATGCTTATCTTAAAGGAGAAGGCATACTGTGGTCCCCCTTATCCGTGGGGGACACGTACCAAGACCCCACCAGTAGATGCCTTAAACTGTGGATAGTAGCATACCCTATATATGCTATGTTTTCTCCTATACATAGATACCGAAGGTAACGTTTAATTAATAAGTTAGGCTCAGTAAGAGATTAACAATAATAATAAAATAGGACAATTATAACTATATATATATATATATAGTAAAAGTTATATTAATGTGGTGTATCTCCCCCGACCCCCTCTCTCTTTCTCAATCTCTCGAAATCTCTGATAACCGATCTGATAACTGAGGGCCACTAAGCACTCCTGTGTGGGTGGCACGCCCAGCATAGCTAGCTGGACAAAGGGATGACTCACTCCCAGACGGGATGGAACAGGATGTCGGAAGAGTTTATTGTCCTCCTCAGAACGGCACGCAATTTAGAACTTACAAACCGTTTATTTCTGAACTTTCCCATTTACTATTCTCAGACCATAGTTGACCGAGGGTAACTGAACCCTAAAAAAATGAAACCACAGACAAGGGGATACTACCTTTCATTAGGTTTTCTTGTGGAGGGAAAAAAATTTTGTCTAATATGGTTTCTTGTTCCAGCCTAACAAACTTACTACATTTATTGTTGTTGTTGTTGTTGTTGTTGTTGTGTGTATGTGTGTTTATGTTTAAAATTCTAAACACTGCCCGGCTCATGGGTTGAGTGTCAACTTATGAACGGGGAGGTGATGGTTTGATTCCCAGTCAGGGTACATACCCAGGTTGTGGACTTGATCCCCAATAGGTGCGTGCAGGAGGCAGCCAATCAATGATTCTCATCACTAATGTTTCTCTCTCTCCTTCTCCCTTCCTCTCTGAAATCAATAAAAACATGTTAATAAAATTTTAAAAAAAGTCACCAACTGACATCACACACAAACCACCAATGCAGCTACCATTTACAGTTTGATTCCCAGTCAGGGCACATACCTGGGTTGTGGCTCCATCTCACTGGTCCTTAGCAACACGTGGCAACTCTAGGTAAGCTTACACCAATGCCCCGCAAGGAAGGCTTTATGCCGTGCTCTCTGCTCGTAAGGTACAGCAGACGGCTTTGCTTAGTAACAGGTCTCAACCCCACAGTCACATTCCGACCTGCGAGTGATCCGTGTCTATAGTATAGCGAGGTACCCCGCCTAGGCACGAACCCCGGGGTCTTCACTGGCAGATTCAGAAGCTGTCCCCCACCCCAGCTGTGTTCTCTCAGGGGGCTTCATGTGGCCTGGCTTTCTATTTTCTACAACCACATTAGGACAGAACTGGCAGCCACAGAATTCACCATCTGCTATGATTACTGAAAGGGGTGTGTGTGGGGGGGGAGGATGGAGGGAGTGGAGGGGGAGGGATCTACATATGCTGCGAATGCAGCTTATTCTCACCCAGAGCTGAACAAACTAGGAGCGACAGGCCCATTCACTCGGCAGAAATCCAAACACCCACTTATTTCGTCATTTCAGGTGAACCCACAAAAATATCTTGTAACCTCGATCTCCTGGCTCCCCACAGAGAAAAGCCAGCAAGGGCTGTGGGCCTTTGGGGATGAAATGTTTCATCTTTATGTCCCACAGGGACCCCTCACCCACCCTGCCCCTGCCGCTCCCCTGCTCCTGCAGCTGCACCATTTGTAGAAATGGCTTCCTTTTTGTCTGAGAATTGCTCATGAAGACTTTGCAATAGCAACAGATGTTCGTAGGCCCACGTGGCTTAATTACGGTGTCCCGTGATGCTCTGCAGCCCGGGGCTGGGGGGAAACCAGCAGCACCAGCACCGGTTGCTTTGAGCAAACGAGATAACGTTATGCAGCCCTTTCTGCAGCGGTGAATGGACCAGAGTAGTGGTCGGCAAACTCGTTAGTTCACAGAGCCAAATATCAACAGCACAACGATTGAGATTTCTTTGGAGAGCCACATTTCTCAAACTTAAACTTTTTCTAAAGCCACTTCTTCAAAATAGACTCGCCCAGGCCGTGGTATTTTGTGGAAGAGCCACACTCAAGGGGCCAAAGAGCCGCATGTGGCTCGCGAGCCGCAGTGTGCCGACCATGGAGTTAAATCATTCCCACTAGGATGGACTTCCTTTCAGTGTCTCTCTCCTTTGCTGGTGTTCTTTCTTCCAATTCAATGCTTTTTCCCCCCTCCCGTTTCCAGAGGCAATAAAGTCGTGGCCGCCGGAGAGCTGCCTCAGGAGCATTCTCCACATTCTGGGGATTGCGTGTCCGAGGGGCGCACATGTCATCCGCCCGGAGATCCCTGCTCTTTGTTTCTGGATAGATTGCTGTTAATAAGAGACTCATTTTCACTTTCCAACTGCTAAGTAATTACTTTCTCTCTGGCACGACCACTTGCCATTCTGCTCTAAAGAAACTGCATGCATATGGATGTATTATGCATGAACAGTTAGCATAATGGGTGCGTATCTTGCTCTTGAAAAGTGGCTTCTTGATTGATTTAAAAAATAAAAGAAATGAAATGTACACGACAGGAAGAAACTTTGACCACAGACAACCAAGCCGAGATGCAGACGGTATTGTCTTCCTTGCTGCTCGAAATGCAAATCTTGGGCAGGGTCGGCCTCCTTCCCCCTTCACGCCGCGTTCCTGGCGAGCGGACAGAATGGCCGGTGCATGGTGACAGTTGCCCAAATGACATCTAATCAGTCACGTAAATATGTATTTGTTTCAAAACTCCATCTCAGTTCCTAATATTCAACACAAACACGTTCTGTTGGAAGGCATTCTTCTGCTGCACAGATTTCCTTCTTCCTATGCCTGCTCCACGCACACCCCCCCCCCCAGCCTCAGACAGCTGACAGCGATGCCACTCGTGCTCAGGAGCCTTTGCCGCCCCCACGTAGGAAAACCCCCCGAACGGTTACGATAAGGATCCTGAGTGAGTCACTAGAGAATGCCCTTCTATTGAAGAAGCATGATGAACATTTGACTTGGAAATTGCTTCACAGGCAAAGTAAGACATTTGACTTGGTTGATTCCAAAATAACTAGTTCTCTATTTTCCCAGACACCCCCCACCCCCAACCACAAAACAATTTGGGTTGCTGACTTCAATAGGATAGGCTTCCTTGCTTTTTAACATGCTGTTGATAACGTTCTTTAGAAACTAGGGGAGAAAAAAATAACAGAAAGTAGAACCCTTTCCAACATCTCCACTTATTTTGATGTTAGAAATTAAAAAAAAAAAAAAAAACTAAAAAAAAAAAAAACCCTGAAGTTTTCACATTTTAATCCAACCCATACCACGTATAGATGGTATGGGTTGGATGTTTTGATAATAATGAACGTGTGTTGATCAAATGTGGTAAGTACATAAGAAATACTCAGATGTTTTATTACAAAGAAGCAAACAATTAATTCTGCTCCTAAGAGAATCAGAGAAGACTTTAAAAACAGTAAGTGGCATGTAAGCCACGCATGAGTAGCTGTGAAGAGCATCGCACATGGCTCTAAGTAGGAACCCGTGTCTTTGTCCTTTTCTCATCCACCCCCAAATCCTAGGTGTTCACTGCTATCACCACAGTTTCTTACAGTTATTTGCCAACTTGCCTGTGCCCCTCGGTAGAGTGGTTTTTACACAGGCTAGGAACTGCATGGGCATTTTGTTACCCCCGTACTCAGAAGCCATTCAACAGAAAGCTTTTCCTTCAAAAAGCTTCCCTTATCAACTCAAAAAGATTCCGATCCCACCTTCAAAGACACTGATAAAAACCACCAAATGACCATCATTACATTCTTCTTAAAAAGGGAAAACTGCCCTGACTGGTTTGGCCCAGTGGATAGAGCATCAGCCTGCAGACTGAAGGGTCTCAGGTTTGATTCCAGTCAAGGGCATGTACCTTGGTTGCGGGCACATCCCCAGTAGGGGGTGTGCAGAAAGCAGCTGATCGATGTTTCTAACTCTCTGTTCCTCTCCCTTCCTCTCTGTAAAAAAAATAAAAATAAAAATAAAAGATATATTTAATTGAGAGATAGAGATAGAGATAGAGATAGAGATAGAGAGAGAGAGAGAGAGAGAGAGAGAGAGAGAGAAGATCATGACAACCTTGGCCCACCCTCCCAAAATCTCCAACTCTTATCCTTGGGAGGCAGGCATGTCAGGAATGCAGGATGTCGGAAACTGTATGCACACACCCATACAGGTGGATTTTACTGACAAAGATTGATCAGAAACTCAACGTTCAGTTTCTAGATGCAAAAGGATAGACAAAGGATCCAGGAAAGCCCTGAGTCTGACCATGTGTGGAGAGTTCACGAGCTTACAATAAAGAATTGTGAACAAGACCGAGGCTTCGTGGGAACGTTCATTAGCTCCCGTCAGTTCACCTCCTTCATGGGGATGGGGGTGCTCAGAAGACCCACATTTGAGTCTAGAGCCTGCTGGACCCTGAGGTCCCGTTCTCCGGGAGTGGAGCCGGCCCAGGGCTGTCTGAAGCATCAATAAGGGAGATAAAGGAGAGCACATGATCCCTTGGTGACTTAGTAATGAACACAGCCTTTTAAGGAAGTTCATGTCCTACCACTCATCTCAACAGAGGAGATGCCAAACAAAGCCTAAAAAATTCTTACCCACCCTAGCCAGTTTGGCTCAGTGGATAGAGCACTGGCCTGTGGAAGGAAGAGTCCCGGGTTCAATTCCAGTCAGAGGCACATACCTAATTGCAGGCTTGATATTTGACCCTGGTCGGGGTGCATGCGGGAGGCAACCAATGGATGTGTCTCTCTCACATCAATGTTTCTCTCTGTCTCTTCCCTTCCCTTTCACTCTCTTTAAAATGTATGTGTGTGTGCATGCGTGCGCGCACGCGCGCGCGCGTGTGTGTGTGTGTGTGTATATATAGTGTGTGTGTGTATATATATATATATTATAGTGTGTGTGTGTATATATATATAGTGTGTGTGTGTATATATAGTGTGTGTATATATATAGTGTGTGTGTGTATAGTGTGTGTGTGTATATATATAGTGTGTGTGTATATATAGTGTGTGTATGTGTATATATATAATGTGTGTATATATATAGTGTGTATATATAGTGTGTGTATATAGTGTGTGTGTATATATATAGTGTGTGTATATAGTGTGTGTGTATATATATAGTGTGTGTGTATATATATAGTGTGTGTTTGTGTATATATATAGTGTGTGTATATATATTGTGTGTGTGTATATATATAGTGTGTGTGTATATATATAGTGTGTGTTTGTGTATATATAGTGTGTGTATATATATATATATAGTGTGTGTGTATATATATAGTGTGTGTGTTTGTGTATATATATAGTGTGTATATATATAGTGTGTGTGTATAGTGTGTGTGTGTATATATAGTGTGTGTGTATATATAGTGTGTGTATGTATATATATATAGTGTGTGTGTATATATAGTGTGTGTATGTATGTATGTGTGTGTGTGTGTATATATATATATATCATCCAAAAGAATCATACCCACTGTCTCTTCCCAGGGATAAGGTTAATGAACAAAGACAGGCAAACTTAACGTGGACCTGTGGGAGGGAGAAATAACTTGCCATTTATTTTTGGGGTCCCTTCCACTCGTGCAAAATGTCCCCACCTCACATTAACTATGGCACGTGGAGTCTTACTTTAGATTCCCGTCCTTGATTGATTCCCGGAACTCTGGGTGGGGGCCATGAGGCAAGAACGGCCAGCACACCCGCTGACGCGGAGGAGACAAAGATCATGCCGCCAGGCACACGCCAGTGCGTGGCCAGAGAAAATGGTGCCCTCCGCTTACCACGCCCGGAACCACAGCTGCTTTTACTCATTCTGTGCTGCAGAAAAGGCTTTTATTATAGGTTGCCCTCCTTGGTAACGCAGCCCCCCTTTGAGGGGGAAATCTTCAGTAATAAGCCTGCTAGTCTTTTAACAGAAGATAAACAGAGTGCGGCGAGCTTAAAACCACTCTATTTTTCTTCTACCCGAGCACACAGGATTCCACGTCGCCTTCACGTCCTTTCTTCCCGTTTCTGTTAATAGTTATTTTTAAAGAATTAGAACAGAAGCAGGTCAATAATGCATACAGACGTGACAAAAGTATTAGACCATTCTCTGTGCAGAGAAACGTGAAAACAGTTGATGGGCTAAGATCATTTATAAGCTTTCTTTTACCAAATGCATTTTCCCTGTGATTCCACTCACATAACGGATGATTCCGTTAAACCCTCCCTGCAGAAAGTGGCTCTCAGTTCAACAACCACTATCACCACCAACACAGGAGCTTACGGGACATCTATTTGTTGGGGCAATGCTAGGGCTGGCTACAAGGAAGCAAGAATGAAAGAAGAGACAACAAGAAATGTATTCTTCCTCTCCGCTGTTCCTTTTCTTCTAGGTCCTTCCTTTTCCAGCCTCTGAAGACACTTGTCTGCTTCCCCTCCTCACAACTTCTAGGTTACGTCAAAGAGTTCTCCTGAATTAACCCTTCTGCCTGGTTTTGTTTTTCCCCTCTTGGGGCCAGGGACATCCATGGGGGAGACATCCAAGGAAAAGCAAATTTCATTCATGTCTACAAACAAGAATGGGCGGTTCTGTTCTCGCCGACTGTCCATTATCTATTCAGTCCTTCTACTTTTTTAAAAAAATTAGCCTTCCCTTCCATTTGCCCCCTCCTTAAATTTCCAGGGAACGAACACACACACACACACACACACACACACACACACACACGCACGCACTCACGAATTTTCAATCAACACGTTCAGAGTCAACATGGCAAGACGCTTGTAAATGTGAATGGTTCTGTTCTCGCCTACTGTCCATTATCTATTCAGTCCTTCTACTTTTTAAAAAAAATTTATCCTTCCCTTCCATTTGTCCCCTCCTTAAATTTCCAGGGTACGAACACACACACACACACACACACACACACACACACGCACTCACGAATTTCAATCAACAGGTTCAGAGTCAACATGGCAAGACGCTTGTAAATGTGAGTTCCATTACTTAACAGTCTAAAAATAAAACTTCAAGGGTCCCTGAAACTCATCACCAGGCTTCCCCATCTTCAAATTGGGTTTTTCCCAATTCCCAGCATATTATTTACATCCTTAGAGGAAGTTAAGCAGACGCAAAGTTTATGGAGGCCTTTGGGCTAACCACCCCATGATTCACTGCACGCAGCTCCCTCCAGAATCTAGTACATCTGAACCCCGAAAGTACATGTGTCAGGCCTTCGATTCCATCGCCAGAATCCCAAATCTGACAGCTGGGGGAAAGCAGAGTTCTTGGGGGCCCGCGCTGCTTGGCCCGGTGCCTGGCTGCATTTAGCTGGGTAGTTAATCCCCCCGCGCAGCGCCCACTGTGGCAGGCCTGCTATTCTTCATCATCTGGAGCCCAGAGTTGATATAAGCTTGAGCCACACATGCAGGAGAAAAGAAAAAAAACAAAACAAACACACACACACACACACACACAAAAAAAAAACAACCCACTCCATTCGCATTCGCAACTGAAATTGGTGGCAGAACAATGCACCATGCCATGTAGGCTTTCACACATGGGAGAGAGGAAAGAAAGGGTGGAGTACAAACCTTCTCCTTTGTTTTCTCGTTCTCTGCTCTGAGGTCTTCATATTCGCCAATTGCTAAAAGGGAAAAAGAAAAGAGAAAGCCATGTTATATAACCTGCCGAAAGTTTACTGTAGGAAACCCTGGGACATCCCCCCAACTACCCGCGCTTGTCGATTTACTAGGTTTTGGTGCAGAAGAGGCCACAGAAGGGCTTCTGCTTCTAGAGGAAGGAAAAGAAAGAGACCGTAGCAGAGGAGTGCCCACCATGCCAAACTCCAGTTCTCCCCAGGTCATTAGGGAGACAGACCTGGGAGCCACAGGTGGCCTCTGACAAGTCACTTCTCTTTGGTACCCAGACTGGGTCCTGGCAGGCGGGTGGTCCCTGATGTTCCTTTCAGCACCATTAGTTGGTGGTGCTGTGATCGGGTTTGGTTTTTAATCAGCCGCCAGAAAATACGGTCGGCTTACACGTCCCACGCCATGTCACACATCTGCTGTAGCATCCACAGAGCAACACTGCTCCTGCTCTGAGCAGTCAGCTCAGAACAACCGCTTTCAGGCACTGCGAGACCCTCCTGCCCCAGACCCCGCACACTAGCCAGATAAATTTCCTTGTGTTGGAAAAACGTGTGAATTGCTTAAAAATATTCCCAACTACATGGAGGAGGAAAACAGCAGTTTCAACTCATAACCCTCTATTGCCAGAAAAAATAATCTGAATCCCCCACAGTCATCTTTTAGTCAAAGCATGATTTTTATTTTTTAAATAAATATGTTTTTATTAATAGAGGAAGGGAGAGAGATAAAGACAGAAACATGAATGAGAGACTTCGACCTGCTGCCTCTTGCACGCCACCTACTGGGGACTGAGCCTACAACTCAGGCATGTGCCCTGACTGGGAGTCAAACCAGTGACCTCTTGGTTCATGGGTCCATGCTCAACCATTGAGCCACACTGGCTGGGCCAAAGCACCATTTTTAGATACACTCACAGCTGATGATGCTATATTCAGAGCATTGTGACTGGAAGAAAGAGAAGGACCTGGGGTTGATGACGGAGCACAGTGCCTTGGGTAGGCCTCACAGAACTGCTGCCCACGCCCAGCCCAACACCTTGACTGTGAACACACGCCAGGAAATCATCCGATTGGAATTTTATACCTTCACTCTATAAAAATGTAGTTGGATTTATATACAAAGTTATTTCTTTTAAAAAAGAAGAAGACAAATAGAACTTTCTATTTCTATGAATCACCTAAATATAAAAATAAAAAATCTGAAATCAGAGCTTCAAGAACATCCCAGACATCTATCCGGTCATTAATTCTAGAAGTGTCTGATTCTAACCACTGAAACAGACAACTCACAGGGTAAAGTGCATGTTTTGTTTCTTCCAAAGGAGATACAAAGGGTTTAGAATAGCTACCGTGGTGGTAGGACCAACATCTGACAATCCAATTCCAATGGACAGACATTCACAGGAACCTGCCACCAAGGTCCAGGAGTTTTATTAGCATCCCATGACCAAGTAAATAAGAATTAAAGCCACACGCCAAAAAGGAAAACTAGCCCAGAACGCAGATGAATGGATACATGTAAAGATATAGCCATTTTAAAAATAACTCCATCCCAACAGGAAAGATTTGATTGACCACAGAATGCAGCTCTCCCACACCACCTCCTCCTCAGCCTCCACCACACACACACACACACAAACCCATGGTTCTGAAAAAAAAAAAAAATCACTAAAAGCCCTCCCCTCCCTCCACATTTTTTTTTTTTAAACAAGCCAAAAGAACTAAGGGATGCTAAACATATGCACTTATGCCATTGGGTAATCTATGCTCATAATTCCAGATCTTATTACTACATGTAACATTGCTTGGAAAAATAAATATAGACTTTACTGAGAAACTTTGCATTCGTTTACTTGACATTTAAAGGTATCTGCAGATGAAGCTGAAAAATCCCAATTGATTTACCACTCTGTTCTTATTGACCTACTTTACAGACGTACAAAACAGACAATAAAGGCTTCTAAAACCATGATCTCATAGTGATATTAAGAAAAATGTTTTTGTATTTAAAACATCAGATAATGGCTTGGAAGGCTTTTGAAAAATACCGATACTATTCTTCCATTATATTGCCAATAGAATTCAGATGAAGCATTATAGACTCCCAATGACTGGGTCTTTATGAAAAGGGTTCATTAAGAACCCTTCACCTATTGTGTCTTAATGGAAATCACAGAAAACATGCTTTATTGTGATTATGTGTGAGTTAAAAATAATACGAAAGTCGGGTACAGGGAAAGGAAAAGAAAGGTGTGAGAAGAATTCAACCCCTTGGGAGAGGGGAGAGGGACAAGGCATAAGAGGAAAGAAAAGTTACTAATAGTTTTTATTTCTTTGACGTTGGAAAACCAAGCTCATTGTTCTAAACAACATTTACACACACACACACACACACATACACTAGTGAAAAATATGTAACCATCCTCAGCAAAACTGGCCCAACAGGAAGTGACCTACATTATTCAGTTACTTCTTTTTCTGGCAAGTGTGAAGGGTCACAGAAAAAGCCTTATTGTTCCGGAACAGGCTCACAGTGGGACAAATTTAAGTCCGTTGCACAGCTCAGTGATTTGATGAGAGAGATCCAAATCTTGAACTAACTAACCGATGCCAAAGGAAAGACAGATTTGACCAACTCTCTGCCATGGGAAAATATACCCACAGCTTGGGCAGACACCGTCTCAGCCCACAGTCCACAGGGGTAGTTCAATCCACTGTACCCTCAGGTCCCACCGCCCAGGAATGCAAACGTCACCTGACCCCAGCCCAAGCACAGGGTAGCCTGGGGACCTTGGACAAATGGGCTAACCTGAGTCTCCTATTCCTCCTCTGGAAAATAGGAATAATAACTATACACATCTTACAGTGCTGCTACTAAGAGTGATGACTAAACACATATGATGGAAGAGTGCTGGGCATATGAAGTGTCCCATCCACGTTAGCCATGGGTATGGTTATTACTGACACAGCAAAGCACATCAAATCTTGTGTGCACAACAGAGTAGGCTGGTCTCCAGTGCCCTCGGGCTGGGCGTGCTTTTGACCCACCTGGTATGAACGATGGCACAGCAGGAAAGTGTCTGCAACCCGAAGGACTGCCATCCCCCTCCAAGTAAGAGGAGAGCGGGGGCCAAAGGTCAACCGCAGCCCGGCAGAGAAGTGGAAGCACGCCCAAGAGCTGCACGTTTCAATCAGCATCACCGGGGAAGCCTTTCGGTCCTACAGATGTCTGCCCACCGCTCTGCCCACCCCCAACCCAAGCTTCTGGTTGAACTAGACCTTGAAATCCATTTTTTTTTTTTTTAGAAGTGAGCACCCCAGGTGATTGTTACGTGCAGCCCAGGAGGGGACTCACTACCTTAGAGTACAGAATGGGGAAAAAAAGAGGATGCGGAGAAAATGAGGAGAGTATCAGGCAGAGCAAGTGCTTCAAGGATCCTGCTGGTTTTCTATTTTCTAACTCCCTAAATTCCAAGGATTGGAGTTTTCTTTCCAGGCTGCAAATCATGATCTAGCCAGGAAGCAGCAGAGTGTACTTAGCTATTTCAGAAACATCACAATTGAAGTGGATAACATACGGAAGATAACTTCTCTAGCAAGGGTGAAAACCATCAGTTCTCCTGGGACCTTCCCAGTTCAGCCTGAAGCGCCCCGTGTGCCTGGGAGCGCTCCGTCCCAGGTAGGTTAATCATCCCACCGTGAGCATCGGCTCCAGGTCAGTCATTCCAACCAGGTCAGTCAAATATGCCATACCAAGTGTGCAATACCTACAAGTAGCTAGCAGCTACCACCGTGCCAGTGGACACAGAACATCCTTATCACAGAAGAAGACAGTTTTACTGGACAATACTGTCCAGGACATCTCTGTCTTCAAACTCAGCACGTTGGATTCCCATTCATGGAAACCTCCTACTTCCTGCATAGGATTTCCTTCCCCTGATGCCATCACCCACCAAGTCATCCAGTGAGCACCTCGGGATCACCCCGAAGCCCCTCCCTGCCCCCCCCCCTCCAAAGGATCAAACTGCTCAGACTCTCCAACCTACCCTTCCTCTACAGCCAGGACCTCTGCCCTGGTTCCGACCCTTAATAAGAGCAAACACTTCTTATCGAGCCTCCAGCCTCCCTCTATCCCAAGTTCATCCTTTATGGGGTAGACAGCATAGTAACAAAGCCACCTGGCCATTTCGCTCTCTTACTTAAAGGCCCCCAAGATGTTAGGACCCCACTCTCCCTTCCCACCCCCACATTATTCAGTCAAAGGCCACAACTCAGTCCATCACACCCAAAGTCCCAAAGCTTCCCTGAACCCTCTCAGACCTTCAGTAGCCCGGGTGCCTTTAAAATACTTTTCCCTCTGCCTGCAAGGTCTTCCCCTCCCCATCTTCCCTACCTCCTCATGTTCAATGCAATTCAACCTGTCATTTCTTCTAAGAAACCCTCCCCATATACCTCAGGCAAAATCAGCACTTATATTTCTAATATACTACCAATGCACACTGTTCATATATCTCTACTGGATAGAGCAGTGGTCGACAAACTGCGGCTCGAGAGCCAGGTTTGCCGTTCTGTTGACTAACGAGTTTGCCAACCACTAGGATAGGGGCTTAATCACAAGGAACAACAACAGCCTGTAATTATTGGAATCGAGAGACTAGGTCAGTGGTTGGCAAACACATTAGTCAACAGAGCAGCAAGCCTGGCTCACGAGCCGCAGTTTGCCAACCACTGGGATAGAGCATCAACATACAATGTTATGAATTATCTGAGCAGAGGTCCGTTTTCTTGCCTTTCTCCCACTGGATGCACTGGTTACACCTGGCAAAGACCAAGCATGGAGTCGATGGCTATGTTGATGAGTAGACCAGTGGTCGGCAAACTCATTAGTCAGCAGAGCCAAATACCAACAGCACAACGATTGAAATTTCCTTTGAGAGCCGAAAACTGACTTTTGCACATGAGCCACGAAGTTTCTATCACACTGTACGTGCGCACCT